TGACTTCACCTAATGGTGATATTGTTTTAACTGCATGGTCAAAAATTTTATCCGCATGGTGATAAATTATCACTGGCTGTTGTTAATTTTATAAATCTGCATACCGTTCGGTGATGATTAACACCGGGTTATTAAGAGTGTACACATGCACACTGTTCTGTTAACTGTATTTGCAGAGAGCAAATCACCACAATTTTACCTGCATAAATATGAAAAAATTTATTTTAATGCATCATGTTATAATATAATTACTACTATTTTATTATATTACAATACTACAATTACCTAGTAGAAAATTACTCGGTGATGCATTACAGTTAACCCATACAATTTTACATTGACTAAAATTTATCTAATGAATTTAGGCCTTCATGCTGGCAATTGTTCTCGTCGATGATTCTTTGGCAACCACGGGCCCACTTTCAAGTGGAACTACAGCCTTCGTATGCACCGTTGAAGGGACATTTCCTCACCCTGCCGGCTGCACGCAGTATATAAACTGCCGCGTGATTGGAGGAATAATGCGCGTATATGAATACACCTGTCCTGCAGGGTCGTATTTTGATAAAGTCAGGAAGCTGTGCACGCAAGGGACTTGTTAAAAGCTACCAATATGTATAAATATGGTTTTGCTGATGCAAATTTAATGCAATTTGAATAATAAATGCGGTAAATATGATTGCAATATATTTCTTGAAAGAGAATTTGTTAGCTTACTTACATAAACTAAATTATGGTAACAGTAATCATTAATATATTTAACCGAGCTTATGCATCCTGCCCCTGTAATCGTTTACTCCAAGCTCAGCACTTTCAATAGCGCGTGTATGTAATATAGTAAATACATAACATTTAATTGCATAATTGCCAAACAAATTGATGAGTAGAAGGGAAATTCACCGAGTAACCCACCAACCTACTTTATGGCTGGATGCGTCAACCAAATTATAAAAAGTGAAGCTTGCCTTGTATTGTGGGGTGTGCGGAAGACTCCAGCCCACGGACCCCAGCCCGTGGGAGTCCAGCCCACCATTTCCAGCCCGTGATTAACTCCAGCCCGTGATTTCCAGCCCACCAACTCCAGCCCTTAATTATCTCCAGCCGTAATTATTTCCAGCCCATAAATATCTCCAGCCAGTTTATAAAAACCTATCCGTACAGCTTTGCTTAGCTCGAACCAGGATTTCTTAGAAAACTCAAGTTTCTTAAAATTTTCTTTCCAAAAATTTTGAAATTCAACCCTCCTATATTCTAATTTGCAATTTATTTTTCGACTCCATACTAAACTTGAGCTGAATGTATAAACTCTTAGAAATCGGTGTTGGTCACCCGTTAGTACCTCTGGTTACTTTTTCTTCACTCTTAGAAACTTGGTATTGAAAAAAACCTAACGGTATTGATACGTGACTCTACCGCCTTGGTATTAAACGGTTATACCATATTGGTATAGAACCGGTATTGAAATTATACCTTATGGTAATAATTTTAATACTAATTGGTATTAAATTTTTTACCACGTAGTATTAACTCAATACTGGATCAATACCACGCGGTAGAGTCACGTATCAATACCAACGGTTATTGATTTTTTTAAGAGTGTTCATATTTTAATTCATATTATTTCATGAGAATCCACTATCACCCTGCCGAATTTCAACTTCTTACGACGATTTATAAAAATCGGTATGGGTCACCCGCTAGGGTCGCTCAAGACAAAAATTTTACCAATTTCACTTCATATTCCTTTATTAGGGGTCAACAGCAGCAATTTCAGCTCGATTGGATTTTCTCTCCATATGTACATAATGACTGCGCTTTTTGCACTATAACCCAAAACGGGGTACATGGGTGTGGCTCCCTTGATGACGACTCGGTTTTTCAGCTTTAATTTAATTCAAAATGTAAGTTTGATTTTCGTATAATTGTCCCTCTTTTAATTATCCCTTATGAACCATTATACCAATTTGTTTTATGTCAAAAAAAAGATACCATATTGCATTATCCCTAATAAATTATGCAATTCGACCTACAACCGGTGGCACAAAGACTAAGCATACTGGAAGCCCCGTTTTGATATTCATTTATGTATTGGGGCAGGAGATATTTATGGGCTGGAAATAATTACGGCTGGAGATAATTAAGGGCTGGAGTTGGTGGGCTGGAAATCACGGGCTGGAGTTAATCACGGGCTGGAAATGGTGGGCTGGACTCCCACGGGCTGGGGTCCGTGGGCTGGAAAAATCCGCAAATCGTATTGTGGGACATTCAATTTCGCTCGGATTAACTCATCATCATCACATCCAAGCATAGAGTTATATAGTATAAGGAGAGGCACCAGCATTGCTCTTTGTTGAGTGAAAGTCCAAGTCACGTGATGTTTACATTTTGACTAAAAAGTAAACAATCCCACTAGCCATCTTACAAAAAAGAAGATAATTAATGATTTTTATGAGTTTCATTACTTCTGGGTTAATGGCTCTACGGCATACAATTTTAGATCACGCAATACATTTACATAGGTTGGCCTGGTAGGCCCTGCATCCAAGTCACGATGTGGATCAAGCTGTAAAAGTGATATAAGAATACCGCAAGGGTGGATGTACTATCTTCTTACGTAAGTGGGTCACCTCATTTGCATAAATGTCACTATGCCCATTTTCCCCGATACGGGGTTTCCATGCTAATTAAACTCAATGTCTCTCCCGAATGCGTTAAAACAGGGAAGTGTAATTTTTAACAATCCGATAGTCTCAATAGCACTAACTGGGTCATACTTTTATTGCATGTCACACACACACATAGTCCAATCAGATTTTCCCCTAACACTAGTCGTCAGCTGAATCCCTTGCAACTGGATTTGAGTGAATCGGATCCGATTTTTTTGATAAATCGGATCTAAAATTTTTGGGTGAAATGAATTTGGATGGATTAGATCTCAAAAAATGATGCTCCAGCTCACCCCTAGTTTATGTAATCAAATCGCCGAAAAATGTACATACAAAAAAATATTTTTTCAATTCTTTTTAAATTGCTTGAAACTTAATTTATTTGAACACTTACTTACATTTGCATCAACATTTACATATGCTCTGTTGTTCATTTCGATGATCGAAATTATTTATGCATTGGCAAAATCGGCGAAATACGCAACAACATATTGGCAAGTATATGCATCAAAAACTGGAAATCTGTGAAATGTGTGAAAAAATTTTATTTTCATTATCTTGGTCATTATTACGTGTATCACTTGCAGGGTTGGCCAAGATACTTTGTTTCAAAAATACAAGATACAAGATACAAAATATTTGAACGAAACCTTAAGATACAAGATACTAAATACAAATAATTAGAGTTACACAAGATACAAGATACAAGATAGATTTTATCTGCTGTGATCCCAGATACAAGATACAAGATATTTATTTGAAATAATTTTTTCAAGATACAAGATAAATTATTCGGAGCTTGCAAAAAACATGAAATAACGAAGCACCACTTGATTTTTTGTATTGTAGCCGAGTAACTTGTTAATAATGATAGTATAGACTCGTAACTTGCATTGTAATTTATAATGCAAGTCCTCACCCTCTGTTTACAATTTATAAACAAATATGAGGATTTCATCTGTGGTGACCCATACTGATTTTTTTAAATTATTCTATGGAGCTGAAATAATTCTTACCAGTATATTCAGTTGAAATTAGGAATATCTGTAATTGCTCTAATGGTGGTACAAATTAGGAATATAATGAAAATTACAAAATTTGACCACGTGCGAGGGTTTATTTACTGTGGATAAATAAATATTACGACGTTATATAACAGAACCTTGCATCCGAGGTTTTTAAATCTTCATAATTCCAAGTTTTAATACTACCAAATATGCAAGTTTCCCGGTTTTTCACTAAAAAAAAGTATCTTGTATCTTGACTAGTATTTCAAATAAAATATGGTTGAAATAAATTCTCCAGATACAAGATACAAGATACAAAATACTTTTGCGAAACGTTCAGATACAAGATAAAAGATAAGATAAACTCCGTTACACAAGATACAAGATAAAAGATATATCTTGTATCTTGTATCTGATATCTTGTATCTTGTTAAATTGTCTTGGCCAACCCTGATCACTTGTTCATATAAATCAGTATAATAAACCTTCAATTCAATTCAATTCGTGGGAAATGTGCCTGACCAATTGAAGCAAGATCCGAAACTTTCAACTGAATCCGATTGTTATTGAAAAAGTTGCAAATGCATAGCCAGACTCTGCTAATTATCCGACAAGTTTATGAATATGGATCAAATGCGCCAATCACCCCACAATATAAATCATCTGCGGATTAAGCAATTTTCAACAACAAATGTTTGTATGGGTTGTTGAATTTGACTTGAATTAGGGCAATGATCGTCACACTTAAGTAACGTACGGAGTAGACCACAAAGGTAATATAACAGTGCCGACAAATATGTATGAATTCAATAAACATAAAACAACTTAGGCACTGCAAGAGACCCAGGTGTTACCAAAGAACTCATAATTGACAATGGGGGCGCAAGCCATGTTCAGCCCGATTATTTTATGACCAGCTTCGTCTGAAAGACCAGGTTTTAAGAAACCACATTTAGTGCAGCACTTTCACGGAGGCGAAAATTTCAGTATTTAATGGGCACTGGAGGGTGGCGAAAACGCTCGATTTTCCAGTGACATACATATGTGCCTTGCGGTATAAGTCTAGCAAACTTGCGGAATACACTAATTCCTGAAATTTTTGAATCTGCGCAAGTGTTACATCAAATGTTCTTATTAAGAGTTGGTCCTTCAAGCCAAGTTGCCAAAAAATAATCAGGGCTAAACCTGGTTTGCGTCCCCATTGGCAGTACATACATATGTACGTCAGAACTGATTCCGACAGAAAGCTCCTCAATAAATGAGCATTAAGCTTTTTATAGCTCTTTGCAAATATTTAAATGGAACAGAATTCGAGCTTAATTTCATTCGTTTGGTGGACACGACGCAGTAGCAGCATATTTACACTTGGTATACGTTAGATGGAGTCACACGTTTATAGAAGGGCAGTTTTTGTAAGTTTTGTTTTTATAAATTTTTGCACAAAAATTTGTTAAAACTATTCGAAATGTTTAAATAAATTGTAATTTATTGTAATAATATGTGTACATAATAATATTCTAAATTCATATCACGAATTTAGGCCTTCCTTCTAGCCACAGTTTACGTCTATGAGACGTTGGCAAACAGCATAAAGCGTGATCCAGCTCTAACTCAAGTACTTGAAGTTCAATCTAACGCCACCATATTGGCTCCAATTGTGTGCAACGATGAGAAACCATTTCCAGATCCTGCTGACACGTAGGCACAGATTTACGTTGACTCTAAAGCATAATTTTATATATATTGATGTAAGCTACTCAAATTCTGCCGACAGAACTGGAACCTGGTATTATCAGTGCTTTTGGTCTGAGCAGGACTACATTTGGGGGGTATTTCATCTGCAATGTCCAGATGGAGGTTATTTCGATAAGGACCACCTTATCTGCCTGGAAAGTATGGGTCACGTTTTTTAAATAGTTTTAAATAATTTACCTGTACCTAGTAGTCGCTAAAGTTCTGTTATAAGAGCAACTCGCTGTAGCGAACCCAGTTTATCAAATTTCGAAAAACTAATTAAATCACTGAAAAGCCTATGAAATTCTGTATACGAAACATGATTCACTTTTTGAAGTGTCAATCTTATAAGGCCAGAAAAGCCAGGAGTCTAGGTACCCACCACTTGATCGAAGTACGCACGCGTTCCCGGGAAGATTGGCCCCATATCCTGACGACAGAATTTTTTATGAATTCCAAACTTGTGTGGGGTTTAGCACATACATACATCCAGCTAAAGTTTGAATAATGTATCATAGTCCAGCTGGTTTAGGTTCGGCAACAGTGAATTTTTTCCTTGATCCGAAATGGAGTCAGGAATTGAGGATTTTAATTTAACCACCAAAGTACTATCTTGGCCTCATGAACAGGACCTGAGCCCTTGCTGAATGTTACGTCGCTATTTTTGAATAGGTAATAGTTCAGTGGTTCCACAATTCGCTAGAGAACTTGGAAAAATAATTCTTGACACAAATTTTCATCCCCTTGCTAAGAAAAATCACTTTTTCGACCCGATCCAAGTTAAGTCCAATAGAAAAATCATAAAAACAGGATGGTGGGCCCCATCAAAATTTTTGAAACTTTTATGAATAGCCTAGACCGGTGGGGTGCAAATATGGTATTTTTGCTATTTTATTTAGCATCACCCATAAAGGTGGGCACATTTTTTAAAAATATCGGTTTCCATTTTTCAAGCGCGTACCGCATGATCAGCGCCCAGGCTCAGATGGGTCTGTTTTCACTTGGCGTGTAGCTAACAAGTAGTTCCCAAATCTTAAAGACATAAGTCTAAGGTTTACCTTAAGGGCCAGGGACTTACTTTTACTTGATCCGTTCATTTGCGAGGGAAATTTTCTTGGGGCTCGGCATGGATTCGGGCGAATCCAGTTTTTTTCGCCTTCATGAATTTTGGTGACCTTTTTAACCGTTCACTTCCACTTCTTCTACGGTCTTCGACACTGCCAGTGTCACGGCACCATTTTATGCTACGGTCGACCACTTTGCAATCAATCCAGATTTTTATTGTGGAATTAGAAAATGTCGAATTTTTTTGTTCGCTCAAATGTTGCTGAAAAATTTCAACACGCCACGTTTGCCCATCTCTCATTTTTTCACCTGGGGTCACAAAGTTTTCGAAACATGGTTTCTGACGGTAAATTGCATGGCGATTTCAATAAAAAATAGTACAACCTTCTATAAAATTGTTTTGCCTGCTTAATATACCCGGGAAATCTTATAACAGAACTTATGCCATTACCATGTACAACAACCATTTTTGATTTCCTGTAACTTTTCAAAATTTTTTGTACTGAGTTCTTGCAGGAGACTAAGAAATATGTGCCATCTAAAAGCTCATTCAGTGTACCCCTAATTATAAATAGGGATTTGTCGGCTAGATGGCGCTTGTTCCTATCAACTCTTGCACTCCTACAAAATATTATACCTGCAGGAAGTAAATAATTTCATGCAGGAAATTCTTACAAGCGTTTTTTTCATGGGAGGCGTTAACATAAGTAATCAGTTTTGTAAACTGATAACTGTTAACACGTGAATAAAGGTATAAATCTAATTAAATCAAACATTAAATAATTGGTACACACGTTTTAAAGGGCCAACAGTTCCAATCGTTTGTAAGGATGAGAACCCATTTGCAGATCCTGCCGACACGTATGTGTATACCTATTTACACTAACCTTACATTTAAGCATAAGCATAATTCCACATAAAATATTTATATACACCATTCGAATTTTGTCGACAGAACTGGAACCTGGTATTATCAGTGCTTTTGGTTTGAGGAGGGGTACTATTGGTGGGTATCGCATGAGCAATGTCCACCTGGGGGTTATTTCGATAAGGAGATGCTTGCCTGTGTGGAAAGTAAGGGTCACGTTTTTTAAATAATTTTGAAAAATTTATCTGTTGTAATGAATCTGTACAACCGATATTTTTTGCCATGCACTGCACGACAATGTAAGAAATAGGTACCATCTAACTGCTCATCCAGCGTAGTACCCCTAATTATAGGGATTTGTCGGCTAGATAGCGTTTCTTCCTTGCACTCCTCTAAAATTATGCAAGAAATATGTAAATAATCTCGCGTAGGAAATTCTTGCAATAGTTTTGTTCATGAGAGGCGCTAACAACGTTTAATAATTGCTATATATTTTAAAGGGCCAACAGTACCAATCGTTTGTAAGGATGAGAACCCATTTGCAGATCCTGCTGACCCGTATGTTCATACTTATTTACGCTTACTTTACATTTAAGCATAATTCCACATAAAATATTTATATAAACCATTCGAATTGTGCCGACAGAACTGGAACCTGGTATTATCAGTGTTTTTGGATTGAGTACTATTGGTTCGCAATGCATGGACAATGTCCCCCTGGGGGTTATTTTGACTCGGTACTCTGTGTGTGTATTGCAAGTAAGGCTTATCTAAGATATTTATAATTTTGAAGTTAAATGTTGCACTTTATAACAATCAGTGCTTGATTTCTTGCATCTTTTTAGCAATTTGAGGATGGCATTTCAAAAAATTGTAAGAAGCTTAGGACATATGTTTAACACCTATGTAGCAGCCGCCCCTTGCGAAACATTTACTTATAATGATTTTTTGCTGACAATTATTTTTTGAATATCTTTCAATCGTTTACAAAATTATGTGTAATAAAAACATAATATCATGCAAAAATATCTCGCATGCCATTTTTTACGGAAAAGAATAATAACAACAATTTGTACACATCTTTGTATACATCTTTTTTAATTGTCAACAGACTACGCGTGCACCATTAATGTCCATAAACGAACGAATATGCAACCATGAAGATTATGCCAAACATTATATATAGATGCATCAACCTTTCTGGTTCAATGACAACTTTTATCATTGTTTGTCTAATAAACAGTTTCTTTGACGCTGTAAAATTGCACTTGTCCTGCATCTATAGTATCAACAATAATCCGAAATATTACAAGCTTTGTATCCATGGTTGAAGGGACTTTTGCGGACCCTGTCGGCTGTACGAAATACATAACGTGCCTCATGATTGTTGTTGTTGTTGTTAATCCTTTATTCACGTGTCAACAGACATCAATTCATTACAAATTGGTTTACACACCATGACACAAGTAGCATATATATATAATTTATAAGCATCTAAACTAACCTATTTAATTAAATCAGGCAACTAATTAAATCATGAAAATCATTCATATTTCATGCATTTGTCCTTTGATTTATAATAAAGTCGCGATATAAATTAACAAATTGGGTGTAGGAGACATTAAAATCCCGAGACCGTGGCAGGGTGTTCCATAATTTTGTAGCTCTATAAGTAATTTTATTAAGAGCCAATGTCGTGCGAACCCTAGTAATAGGAAGAAGTGGCCAAGATCGCTGACCGGAAGTTGAGCTTTGTAAATGCTTAAGATTACAAAAAGCATACTTAAATAGATACATGTCTCGTCTCTCCATAACGGACAGAAGGTCAAACTTAGTTAATAGCTCATTATAATTTATGCTATGATTGGAGGAGCAATGCGTTTATATGAATACACTTGTCCAGCAGGATCGTATTTTGATAAAGTCAAGAAAATATGTATTCAAGATTCAAGGGACATGTAGTGACTTTGGCTGCACAAATTTGATGGAAATAAAAAAATAAAAAATGAAATTGTGCAACATGCTTAACTGGATTTTGATCTCTATTTGATTATATTTTATATCATCTCATTATTATCGTTTCAGCACACGAAATTATTTTTCTTATGCTCGTACACACAAAAATCCTCCTCCAAAAGAATCCAATTTTTCTTGGATTTTAAAAGTTAAATGCAATTCTGGTGAGTGATACACGTGTTGTTGCTATATCTTATGTACAGCCTAAGACGTACACAATATCAAGGTTAAGTTTTTTTTACATTGGTTGATATGGTTCAGAGCTTTGTTTTACAGTATTTAAAAACCAACTATAGGATTGAATCTGGCAACCTTGCCGAAAATGGTGTGTCCTCCCAACTAAAAAATAAGTGAACTATATAGCTCAACAACAAATTATAAAAAGGTTCAACCCTTGCTAAAAATATCGGCGCATTTGTCTTCATGCATCTTAAACATTTCTTTCATTATTTTGCTACTTTTGGTTCAAAGCATGTATTTATTATCTGTATTATTTGCCGTTGTGTTTCATGCTCGAGGAGGTATTTTTCATGCAGTCGAACTTATCAGATTTTAGCATGCAATAAAAGGATTTTGATCAAATGATGACCTACAAGGATCGGAGAAAATATTATACAAGTTATTGTGCAACTGATAACGTCACTAGGTCACTTGACCATATTGTGTAAAAAATGTAAATGATCTACCGCACATCCCTTAATTTAAGCCTCTCCACTTTTATGCCTAGTTTATTTATTCAATACATTATCACATCCCAAGTTACGTTACATTCAACGAGTTAATCCATGCTGGGCAACTAGTAAAAACGTTACTGTAGAACAACCACAATTTTTATCTTTACAAGTAAAGATTGGATTTCTCCAGGAATTGGGACGAATTGATTACTTGGTTCTTGCGGTGTAATGCTAATGCACAGAGTTACACTGGATGAGATAATGTTGCCGTAATTATTGGGAAGGGTGCCTTTCTTGCACCTCAATATAGGTACATTTTACTCGCCACTATTGTTTCATTAGTTGGCGGCATAGTTACATACGAGTTGGTTCGCAAAATCAAAAAATTAAGTGCAATAAAGTCGGGCAAATTATGCAAGTAACAAACGAGCTCTTGCATCCCGCCGCCATAAACGTGAAATCCACGCGCCGCTCATGTATCCATGCAATATAATGGATAACATTTAATTAGATAAGTGCATAAGATTTAATTATTTAATGATATATTCAATATTTAATGATCCCGCAATTTCTGTGGACGAATTGTGCCAACCACACCATCAATATATAATTTATAGAGGGATGTGTAATCAACCTCATAAACACAAATGTTCAACGTCAAGGTGGGTTTGTAGATAATTATGGGTCATTAAATCTCACTCGGATTAAGGTCATCATCGTTAAATTCAAAGTCACGGTTACGGTCAAACCAAAAACAATGACGCAATGACGCCGACGAGTAATTGCACGATCGATATATAAATATCAAATAATCCGCTCCGTACTATGCGTCGAGCCTCAAGTCTTTCTAAGAATTCATAATTAAATATGTATAATCGCTGGAATTCTATTCAACTCAAAGCTAATCAATAAATTATCATTAAGCTTTTTACAGCACTTTCCAACCATTTAAATACCACGGTCTTCAAGCTTATTTTCATTACATTCGTGGACATTGCCGAGGCGAAGACAACCTTCACTAAGCAAAATGGGGTCACAACTTTATAGAAGCGCACTTTTTGTAAGGCTTGTTTTTTCCATTTGAACATTTTTAATCTAAAATAAATTTATATATTTTAATGTACTTAACACTACAATTATACAACAATTGAAATTCACACTATGAATTTAGGCAATCGTGTTAGCCACCATTTTGATCGATGGAACTTTGGCCAAAAACGTAAAGCATCCTCCAGCTCTAACCCAAGTAATGGAAGTTGGGTCGGACATCACCATCTTGGCCCCAATCATGTGTATTGATGAGAACCCATATCCAGATCTTAATGACACGTAAGTACATATATATTTACGCCAATTTTACCATATTATCACATACATTATGTATGTCCATAAACAATTCATACTCTACCGACAGAACTGGAACCTGGTATTATCAGTGCTTTTGGGTGGAGGAGCAACAGATTTGGGGGGCATTTCATACGCAATGTCCCGATAAAGCTTATTTCGATAAGGAGTACCTTACTTGTCTGGAAGGTAAGGTTCACATTTGTTATAATTTTGAAGAATTGATTTGTTATAACGAATCTGTATGACAGTCAGTGTTTGATTTAATGCTATTTTTCACTGCATTGCAAGAAATTGCAAGAAATAGGCGCCACCTAGCGGCACATTCATTCTATGTATGAATTGTCGGCTAGATGGCACTTTTTCTCTGCATTTCTCACAATGCAAAAAATTATGCATGAAAGCAATTAATAATTTCGTCTAGGAATTTCTTATAAACAAACACTAACAACGTTAATTGGTTAATTAATACATATCTTAAATGGTTAACAGCTCCCACCACACCTGCACCGTTCGTGTGCGTTAGTGATGGTATATTCGTACACGAAGATTGTACAAAATATTATAAGTGCATCACCATTGCTGGCACAATAAGAAAGTACGAGACAACTTGTCCAGCAAACAGTCACTTCAACCCCGCGAACTCATTGTGCGCCATTGGGCCCTGTCCGACACCTTAATCCTAATTTCAAAAAACTTGAATAATAAATGACATGATGACATGATCTGAGTGTCACATGATTGAAATTTTTTTCTAATTGACGCATCTTTTATTTGCATATGTATTTCATTCTTCTAGGTCCTCGCCTTATTGTATACCGTAAAAACTCAAATAGTAGCCCTTGCTCAAATAGTAGCCGTGCCCAAATAGTAGCCCTGCCTTTTTTCATAATTTTATAAATAGTGACCTTGCTCAAATAGTAACCGTGCCCAAATAGTAGCCGTCCCCAAATAGTAGCCTTGCTCAAATAGTAGCCCTGCCCAAATAGTAGCCTTATTCGAATTATAGACGTTTGTCAATTTCCAATGTACATACATACAACCAGACATCTCCTAGCCAGCTCATTTAATTAATTAAATTACGATGCCATTTAATCTCAGTTATACAAAATCGAATTGGATACGAAATTCGGCTCATCGTAGAAATTATTAAAATTAATAGCAGGTCTAACCTATAGAATTGTCATCTAATACGAATCTTAGGGATAATTTGGCGCTGTTATTAAAATTTAATTTGCATTTGATTCTGGAAATAAAATTACAATAGCTGTTTGCTAATAGTACCCGTGCATCTTTTCATAATTTTATAAATAGTGACCGTGCCCAAATAGTAGCCTTGCTCAAATAATAGCCGGGTCCCAGCCACCGATTTTTTAAATAGTGTCCCCCGGCTACTATTTGAGTTTTTACGGTATACCAAATTCTGAAATTTTAAATACATGCTTCCTAAATACATACATTTGTGCATTTTTAACTGGAGATCATGTCAGATTAATGACGAGAGCATATGAATCTATCACTCACCCGGTAACCTAATGATTGTCTTTCCCTAGCGTTCCAAGGAGTTCGATTCTAGGGCGCCATTCTCGCACGCCACACCCACTAACAATGGAGAGGTGTAAGGTAGTTATCACCGATCGAGACCGGTGTCCAGGCCCAGAAATAAGTAGATCAGTATTTGTGCGTTTTCGTGAATGGGCATGTTTACGCCCTTGGAGGAATTGAAAAAAAAATTCAGCCAAAATTAGGATTTTTAAACATGTTTTAACTTTTTGAATTGTAACCCAATTTAAAAAATTAAACCCAACTTGGTCCCACAATTACATCCGTAAAAATATAAAAATTCATTTTTATATTTACATGATATATTTTTATATTTACATTTACATGATAATCAATGATTGACAGGAATGACCAAATCCTATCTGGTAGGAAATATCTAACTTCATCATCTACCTATGCTACTAAAAATATAATGCTCGTCCTGATTAAACATAACAATATTGTTTTACAAATATTTATTAAATTGATTAAATGAGTTCATCAGTAAATAATCCCTCAACTTAATTTTGGACGTAACACAGCTCATCCTCAGGTAATACTTAATGTGATTGTGTAGTGAATTCCATAATAATATTCCTCTGAAGGTAAAAAAATTCTCCAAAATTCTATCCTGGGTATCATGGAAATTAGAAAATTATATTTGCTCGACCTACATAAATCAGATCATTTGTTCCACAACAAATAACCCAAGTACATACTTAATTGTATTAATTAGGTCAAGTTTTAAATGCAAATAAAGATATATCACGCTCAATAACAAACACTTGTGTCCGTCCATGTGTCGAAATCAAAATATAATTAACGACTTAATTTGAGACCGATTCCGATCGTTTTATTATACTGCGGTAATCCGTTATAGTACCAAAAACAAAAAAAGGGAATGGTAATAGAGACACAAATTATGCAAGCAACTAATAAAACAATGAATTCATGCACCCCGCCGCGGTAACCGTCAAATCCAAGTGTGGTGACTTCATCGGCGAATGTATGCAATCGAATGCATAGCATTTAATTAGATAATTATCCCACAAATTGAGTAATACTGACGAAATTTTTCAATCTCGCCCAGATTAAGGGCGGTCATCGTTATGACCAATGATGACGATCCGTATACAAAAGTGATCCAACAATACCGCTGAGTATTTACATGGTCAATATCTATAAAATAATTACACAACCTAAAGTGCAGCAATATGTTTGTAATGAGACCCAAGTGTTTATTGGAATTAATAATTAAACATAAACTTCGGAACTTCTGACAACTCAAAGCTCATCAGTAAATGAGCATTAAGCTTTTTATAGCTTTCTGTAACTATTTAAATACAACGGTATTCGAGCTTACATTCATTCGTTTGGTGAACACTGGCAAGGTGAAGACAACCTGCACAAAGGATAAGTAACATGGGGTCATATTATTATAAAAGTGGACTTTTCGTAAGTTTTTTTTATCAATTTTGACGTAATTTATTAAATCTTAACCCCTTATTTATGAAACATTTCTTTAGACCCAAAATACAATATATTATGTACTAACCTTGCACTAAAAATTTACTCCAATATAGGCTGAAATTTCAACTTTATATTTTAGCTTATTAAATATATTCTAAAATAGTGTACACTGTTTTATTACTGCAAAGCACCATAACGTCTCAATTTTAGGTCGAAATTATTGGACGTTTGACCTGCATACATTTAAACAAATTTACTCTAATATTACAATCAGACTTGCATTCTGGGTCGGGCTTCCCTATCCCTGGCCTTACGAGATAGGCGGAAGCCCGCACCAGAATGCAAGCCTGATTACAATTATTCATTAACCTGCACCATGAATTTAGACAATCATGCTCGCCGCAGTTTTCGTCGATGAAACTTTGGCGAAAAAGATAAAGTACGAACCAGCTCTAACCCAAATACTGGGAGTTGATTCGGACATTGGCATATTTGCTCCAATCACGTGTGTAGACGAGAACCCATTTCCAGATCCTTCTGACACGTATGTACAAACATACATATTTACGTTAACCTTACATTCAAGCTTAATTTCGCATAACATGTACAAACAATTCGTACTCTACCGGCAGAACTGGACAGTTTTATTATCAGTGCTTTTGGGTTGAAGATCCTGTTAGTCCGACTTGGATTCTAAAGCGTCAGCAATGTCCATCAAATGGGTTTTTCGATCCGCCAACCTTTTCTTGTGTAGAAGGTAAGGTGCCAGTTGTTCGAAATTTTGAAGCATTTACTATGCGTAGCCAGGTTTGAGTCAGGCGCAAAGGCGACGGGAAAGGGTGTGTAGAATACCACGTGGAAAGGTTGAAACTTTGCCATAATTTTTAAAACTATTTGTAACAATTTAGAAAATTATTTTTCCCGTTTAATTTTTCAATATCTCACCTCCTTGACCTATTAATAAGGGATGAAACCTATTACAAGGAATACGTTGTTTGTCTCTGTGTACGATAAGTTACTATTTTTTGTCTACCCTTTAGTGCACTCCATCTCCTTTTACGCGTGACTCAAACCTGGCTACTCACACTACTAAAAAAACTAACGAAAACTATGTTGAACTGTAAAACACGCGACACCCTGTGCTTGATTTCTTACACTTTTTCTTCCCTTTCGTGTACTGCACTGCAAGAAATTATCTGTACAGGAAATGCAGGCCATTCGTATGTGCATAAGTTCCACCTAGCGGACAATCCTTTGCATTATACTCTTTAATCGTAGTAATTCTTATTTTTTGTTGTGCTAGAACTCGTGCCAAACGTTATGCTTGCAAAAAATATTCTTGTGCGGGAAATTCTAGACCGCCGATTTTTTAACTGCAAATACTAACTACGGCAATTGTAATATTTTTTAAATTGTCAACAGTAAGACCAACTACGGCACCTCCGACAAGCACAACGCCTATTCCCACTACGGCTGCGACAACCACTACAGCTGCACCCACCACGCCTGCACCATTCACGTGCAAAACGGAAGAAGGAACATTCAAACATGAAACGGATTGTACAAAATATTATAGGTGCGTCATTATTGCTGGCACAATGAGAAAGTATGATATGACTTGCCCAGCAAACAGTTACTTCGACGCGGCAAAATTGCTCTGCGTCTCTGGATCCTGTCCTGCAACTACAATTGCAACCACAGCCCCAACTACGGGCTCAACTACGACGGCAACCACGGGCTCAACTGCGAAGGCAACTACAGGCCCAACTACAACCCCCGCCCCATTCACGTGTACGGCTGAAGGGACTTATCCGGACCCTGCCGGCTGCACGAAATACGTGACCTGCCGCATTATTTCAGGGTCAATGCGTACATATAACTACACTTGTCCGGCAGAGTCACATTTTGATGCAGCCAAAAGGATGTGCGTGCTAGGGAATTGTTGAGAGCTATACATATGTATGAGGCTTTGTCTTGGGCAAATTTAGTGGAATTTGAATAATAAATATTTATGACTATGTCACATGATTGCAGTATATTCCTAATTGACGCATCCTTCACATAACATACTTAATTCATACTTGCATACATATGTACATCTATATCTCATTCTTAAATATTCACTCTTCTTTAAATAGATATCGGAAATTATGACAGCTCATAAATTTATAAGTTACAATTATGTATTTGTTAATTGAATTGTCAAACTAACGAGTAAGTCATGGATTTTGATTACAATATGTCATAGATTGTAATTTAACGTTTCTTCAAATTTTGTAAAAGTGCTATGAAAGTTACCTATGTATGTAAAATCCATTATGCATGATAATTTCCTGCATGATTTCATGTATATAAGTATATGCTACAACTAATCAAAACGCCGGAAAAGTTGTCCTTATTTTAAATACTTTAATTTAGGTTAAAAATGCATATTAATGTAATGAAAACAATGTATAAATTAAACTTAAGACGGAATTAAGACGGAAAAAGTAAAGTCTTTGTTAGACCCCCCAATGCTAATATCAATGATTTGTTTGTATCTCTTTTCGTCGCACTTGAGTTTGTGTGATTTATGGAGTCGAATTATTCAAAAATATGCATATATTTACACACCGTTTTTTATATCAAAAAATATCTTTTGTTTGACATTAATTTATTCTTAATTTCCTGTTTGTAAGTAATTCGGCATGTTGTGTGATACGCTTTATCCACTTCAAATGTATATATGCATGTCTCTATGTATTTACAATGTCTCCACTTTTACTTATAATGCGACGAGGAACTGAAATCTTACGGGGTCATACATATATATACATATTACTCAGGTTGGAAATTATTCATCGAAAAGAAAAATTTCTTCGTAACTTGGTTTTCATGAACAAACAATAATTTGGCTACGTCACAGCTACGCCGAGGTCTAAGTACAATTTATAATCTGCACATGCCCAAAGTTTTACATTCCACTTTCTCCAGTGAGGATATGACTCACGAAAACAAGTCGTTGGGAACTCCGATGGTATGTTTCCTAGTAAAAAACTTTCTGCGGACGTGTCAAAAATTGCGTAGCAAATTTTTTACAATTTTCTTATACGACAATCCTATCTATGTTCCTCCTATTTAAGCTTAATTTAATTTCAATGGGTGCTACGCAAAGATAATACTCAACGATGTAAATGCGCATGTATGTACATACATAAAGAAGCAACGATGTCAAATATCATTGCTATTAGCTCAAACCAACACATTTGTACATATGTACGAACGCATTTTAACTTAACGTCACTAACCTACTCACGACAAACTTCACGTCTGTGGAAAAAGCGAAATTTTACCCAATCCTCTCTTGTGGTTGCGAATGTGCAAATTATTCAGATTCATACTTTTCCCTTCCTCCTATAAATAAAGCTTCTGTCCAAACCGTTGTATCACATCGACATCGACAAGAAGCTCTGTGGCAAACATTACTAAAATTGTCGTCTTGTTTCTTTTTCAAAATTTCTAATCATGACATGGAGCGGTTGTACGACAAAGGTGCAGTACTCTGTACTAATTGGTGTCATACTTTGTGCAGTTTCCATCTCGAGTATCACTGTATCACCGAAATTTGAGGGAAAAAGGTAATTTATTACATTACGTAATTTATGAACATGTAATTCGCTCAATCCTTGGGAACATTATAAAATCTGTAAATTCTGTAAACTTGCAAACTTTTACACACTTTTGCAAATATTCCTAAGGAAAATCAGTTTTATTTTTTGTAAACTTATTTGGACCAAGGGGACTTTTTCAATATTTTGAAAGTTTGTAAAATTCCTTTACAAAACATTTATTTTACAATAACTGTGTGAATTGCCTTTGTGTGAAAGAAATATTTAAAATAATCTTAAACTACAAAAATAAAACAGTGAAAATATTAATTTCTAAATTTTCATGAGTAATAAATTTTAAGACTTGTCCTCTTTACTAATATTCGCCAAGTAACTGAAAATTTTAGAAATTTCACTTAGAAATTTTGTATCACTTTATTTCTCTCCAATTCGTGTCAGGGATCACGTCGGACAAATCGACGCACCACCCACTCTTGGACAAAAAACGACACCAACCGCTTCAAAATTTGAACCTGCCCGCCACGTCTTATCAAAACGACAAATTTTACCACCTCTCATAACCCCAGAAATGGCACTTCTCCCCCAAAGTTTGAACCTCTTGGCGTCACCACTCTTGAAACGGTACGGTTACAATCGACGCCGCCGGTACAATAATTATTACGATGATGACGACGATTCTTACGAAGATTCCGATGAGGATTACTACTATCGGAATCAGTACAGAAATCGGCCATACCCACCACCCACGATTCCGATTCAATACGGGTATGGACAACCCTGGTAACATTTAATATGGTATTAATCCATGAAACAAATTAAATTAACCACTATAATTTATAAGTACTTTGTTTTTGTTGCATATGCATTTTTTAATTCAAATTAAGTTAATTTTGTTACTAACAAATATTTAATAAAAATTAAACTCTTATAAGTAAACGGTTTTTTAATACAATTTTATTAAAATAAAATGTGGTCACCCTTATTAACTTTGCACATATTTTTTTTTATTAAACTTGAATACTTATTAGTCTAAACATGAAAATGGGACAATCCATTCAATTCATAACCGTATCTTACATATAAATGCTTTGTAATATTATTTTTTTACCGGATTAAACACGACGAACTTTTTAACAACGAAAATTGCTAACTTTTTGCACATCATATGTATATAATTTTGGCTTTATTTTGTGCATTGTATGTATTTATATGTATATTTGTAGTACAGATCTTGCACCAAATAAAATATAATTCTCAACACTCTTCCCTTGCTATTTCTGCATTTCAATATTTACATATGTACATACGTATAACTTGTAGTGTGTCATGAGTTTAGAAATCGACTAGTTCTCCGTCTGAATCTTCATAAGGATTTAACCAAAGACCACACAATTTTTTGATTCACACTTAACTACATATATCATGATGTTGAATGAATTTTACTCCAGAAATTGAATAATATCAACCTGACATTGGCAAATTTTGTTGAACTCTAATTTTGCAAGCCAGCTCACCAAAATTAAGTTAATTTTAAGCAATTAAACAAAATCTACAAATAGTATTCACATATGTACATCCATACAAAATACTACTTACACATGCATACTTATGTGATCGTATGAACCTCACCATCACACGTGATTGAGTTATAACCCCATCATAAGAATGTATTCATGTCTTAATTATTCGGTCGTACATTCCATTTATGATGGCAGTACTTTCTTCTAATCTTCTTATCAAATCGTACACAAATTATTGTAACCCTCTTCTTGATATTTGCCCTATTGTATTTTATATACTCGATGACCGCCAGGCACAAACACGCCGCTAGTGCTGTGACGAGTAGAATAAAAATGGTTTGAATACTGTTACCAAGCCTGACCACCCGAAATGAGGTCGTTGCATACCGAAGCTTCCCACTCTTCTCCAATTTCGTCTCCCTTTCGCGTAAAACAGTCTCGTTCAAGCTAACCTGACGAGACACCTGGTTGTAAATCCCTGAGCTAAGAAACGCTTTAAGATATCGGAGCATTCGTGATTCTCGCCAAACTACCAGCTTAAATCCGATCGGCCTTTCAAAAATTATTTTCTCTCCGCGATACCATTTTTTTGCCGGATAATTTCTCTTCAGATACTCATAATAGGTGTCCACCTCATTCGATGGTCCGCCATAAGCGGATCTGTCACACTGCACAATTTCCTCCTCAATTACGCGATTTACTCCGTTGGTTGTCACATTATTCCTTAAAAGTCTCAGCTTCTCCGGATACCAGCGAATCCTTGGATTAATAAAGGAATACAGCAATCGTCTCAAATGCTGTGGATAATGTAAATGATTATAACTAAGGTAAATATTGAAGTAGAAATATTCAGGAAACTTGTAATTTGCAAGGGCATCCTGTCCCGTCATGTCTGGTGCGAATTGGGACAAAATCGTGTAGCAAAATCCCCCAAAATTCTTCAAAATTGGAGGAATTATAAATCTCGGGTCATTTTCGCGGATCACTGAAGCCATTGCTCTCCACCTGTCTTTGACCAGGTTGAAATCGACCATTGTTTGGGAGTTCTCCTGACAAGAAATTTTTTCATACGTGTCGCCTCGTTCCCCTGGAAGCGGTGAGTTTAAATTGGTTATGAACAAACCTAGGTAGCAATTCGTTAACACTATGGAGACCAAGAGCCATGCAATACTTAAGACTTGAAAGGGAAGAAAATTACTCAATTTTTGCGGAAGCTGGTCCACCTCGTCGATCAGACAACCGAAAAAGTATAAGAATATTTTAAGCGGGTACAATTCCTTGTTCAAAAGATAAAATCCTAACGAAACGAGGCAAGTTGATAATAGCAGCATGATAACCGTCACAACCCACACGACTGGGTCGTAAGGAGCGAAATACAAGGAAAAGGAGACCCCCCTCGAGAAATGGGAGCAGGAGAGAAATGAGTACCCGGGAAAATCTGAGATCACAATTTGGTAATTATATTCCCACTCTGTAATCCGCACTTTATTTTTGTAATTGTACACCGGGTAGAAGCAAGCTTCCGTGAGAACCGGGTAGCATTCGGTATTACTAGTTATGAAATGTTGGCTTGCATTAAGTTTATTTAATGCCGTGGCAAATAAGATATCTGAGACTGGATGTTTCTCAGAATTGCCGACCCAATGATGTTCCGATTTTGTCGGGTAGTTTGACGGGGTGAGTAAAATTGGGTCTTTATTTAAATTTGTTGTAGTAGTGCAGAGAAAATATTGTAGAACTGGAATACTTTTCTGGTAACAGGATGTCACTTTATTTTGAGGAAGGAATAATAACACGGCAAATTTCACGGGTAGGAACTGCTCAAACTTGATACGTTGTGTGTAAAGGGGCGTATTCATGTGGGATTCAAATATCTTGTAGCTTCTTGGAATTAATATAAAATAAAAATAGTCGGGATAAACCTGACTTAACCTGAGTTGTTTGTTTAGCGTCAAATAGTATTTGGTTTGAGTAGTAATCCAATATCCTAACGAGTTTTGGTGGGATTGTGTATAATTAGACGAGTTTATGGTGACAAATAAAATGACAATTTCGCAAAGCCAGCCCTTATTTTGGAAAATATCAAGTTGTGAGGAGATCGTTATTGGTTTAAATAATGGAATAGAATCGTCCGGAAAGGGTCGTTTAGTCAGTGTAAGGGGAACATAACGGGTAGTTGGTAGATCCGAGGTGGAAATATTGTTGAAGACGAGATGATATCGACAACGGGTGTGGGTTTTGAGAACGGATGACAAATGTATGACAGCTAATGCAGCCGTAGGTTTTATAACAAATAAATAATTTGCAGTATAATACGGAACGAGTAAAGTTGCGTATAAATTATTTGGTTGTATCATTTTCTCGATGTCAAAAAATTACTCTGTGGGTGTCTTTATCGCGGAGCGAATAATCAGCAATGTTGTGACTGGTAATTATTTTAATTTACGTATGCACGACTGAAAAGATGGAACTATAGGAACCTGATCTTTACTTAGTTAAATGAGAAATTTCGAAATAAATATATTCGTTGACTACAATGTAGGTATGTACATAGTGAAGTGGAGATGCTACCTTATAGATATACTTATATGAAGCAGAGCTGTGTTTTTACATATGCGTACGAGGAACATATGGAATGTACGCAACCATTTGATACCATTAGAGATCTAAATACGTATGGGTCTGAATAAGAACATAAATATCGATATAATATTTTTTTATTTGCATTTTTGATTCACATCTGATATGATATTCATCCTGTTATGGCATTGGCTAAAATTGAGGATGTAAAAGTAATTAGCAGCATAAAATAAGAAGCACTTAAATACTTATTTATTAGAATTGGAAACAAAACTCATTCGGTTTGTATGTACGTAGTCATTTTGTGATAAGTGTGATTATATGTACATAATTCCAAGTTGTGATGTTAGCAGTGCAGTGTAACGTAACATTTATGCAGTTCCAGATCCTGGTTCCCTTTCGATGTGTTGTACAACTAAATATGTGACCTACGTATAAAAGAGAGGTTACGTCAGGTTAATTAATTCATGAATGCGAGAATTTTCCGGTGAAGCGTCCCATCTACATCTTCCATTTTGCACACTAAAATGTTACGATATTTCTGTGCCCCATTTGGTCTAACGACCTCTGTCACAGGAATACATCTTCTCTTCCTTTTTTCGGTCAATATACCATCTCTCAGGCAAAGTATGTAGCACGGAAATGTTGACAGTTTCATAAATACTTGTATGACTTGTGCATGCATATGATCTGCATCCCATTAGGTAGGTCGCACTTGAGACCATATTTTCTTGCATCTTCTTTGAGCGCATAATCTTTTTAAACCCTACCAAACTTAATGCCACCCTCTTCACGATGATTCGCCCATTCCCTGCCAAATATTCGAGGACCGCCAAACATAAACTGACCGCTAGACAGATTCCATGCAGAATAAAAATAGTTTGAATACTGTCACCCAGTTGGACTGCCTTGACCTCCGTGGCATACCGAAATTTCGTCAATTTCACCTCTATTTTTCGGGATAATGTAGCATTTGCCCTGACCCGATTTAATTCTCGGTTGTAAATCCCGGAATCTTGAAACAGTTTAAAGTATCGAAGCATCCGTGATTCCTGCCAAACTTTGAAGATATTTCCTACCACCCCAGTGACGATGGGTTTCCCTACGTTGTACCACTTTTCGTCGGGTAGTTTCTCTTCAGGTACTCAAAGTATGTGTCCACCTCACTTGATGGTGCCATATAAGCGGATTTGTCACATTTCAAAAGTTCCTCCTCGATAATCCCGTTAACCCCTTTGGCCGTCACATTTGCCAAAACTTCAAGCTTTTCCGGGTACCAGCGAATCCTTGGATTCAGCATGGAATATGTTAAACGTTTCAAATACGGGGGAAATCTACTTGCTGTATCAATAATGTAGTAGTTGAAGTGCTGTGAGAATTTGAAATTTAGAAGGTAATGTTTTCCTATTAATATTCGGTCGAATTGAGACAAAACTGTGTAACAGAATCCTCCAACATGTCTTGAGTAGTCGAGGTTGGTAAAGTTAGATTTTTTTGAGTCCTCAAGGATTCGTTTTGAGTCAAGTTTCTGAATGTCGGTTAGGTAATGATCCATACTGATTTGGGGTTTCGAAAGACAGGAGATTTTTTCATACGTGTCGAATCGTTCTCCGGGAATGGGTGAGTTTAAATTGGTGATGAAACTACTCAGGTAGCAAGAACTCATCACCACGCCGACAAAGAGCCAGGGAATACTTATGAGTCTGAAGGAAACCAAAGTACTCAATTTTCTGGGGAGATTACTCACCTCGTCGATTAGACAGCCGAAAAAGTGCAAGAGCAGTTTCATCGGGTAGATTTTTTGGTTCAAAGTGTAAAATCCCAGGGATAAGAGGGACGAAGATAAGATAAGCATGATAACCATGCCAATCCACACGATGCGATCGTATGGTGCTAAGTACAGGGAAAAGGTTAACCCATTCAATCCCATGTAACACGAGAAGAAGGAAAATCCGATGAAGTTTGTGGTAACTATTTTATCTTGAATTCCCATGAATACAGTAGCTCGGATTCTCAACGTGGGGTAGAAGCATGCCTCCATTAATACAGAATGACACGAAAAATCCCCACTTTTGAAATGTCTAGTTGCATTAAGTTTATGAAGTGCTGTAACAATTAAAATTTCTGATAATTCCGGATTTCTTGAAACAAAGGTGTAATCCAACCAATTATATTCCGAGGGCGTCGGGTAGCCGAGTGGTATCCTAACTCCGGAAGAAGATAAAGTATGGCAGGCAAAATTCCGTAGAATTGGGACTCTCAGATGACCCCTTTGGTTACACAATTGTATGTTCTGCTCATTGTGAAATAATAAAATTGATATTTTGACTAGTAATTCTAATTTGGGTAGATAGTGAACGGGTGCATCGATATCTGACAACAAGACTTTTGCGTCAGAAGGAAGTAAAAGAAAGTAAAAATTATCGGAAGAAATTCGTACCTCGATTTATTTAGTTAACGTGAAATAAAACGTGCTATGAGCTAAAATCCAATATCCTAGCGCTTCTGGGTGAAACTTGGTCAAGTTTGGGGGATTAATTGTCACAAAGAGAATCACGATTTCACAGATCCATCCTTTATTTCGAAGAATGTCGAGTTGTGGGGTCGTTTGGTAGGAGGATGGACTTAAATCATGGGAAAAAGTGCGTTTGGTCAGTGTAAGAGGGACATTACGGGTAGTTGGCAAGTCCGAGGTGGAAATATTGTTGAAGACAAGGTGATATCGACAACTGGCGTGAGGAGTTATAGCACATGTTAATTTTTGTATACCAGATAATGCTATCGTGGGTCCGATTAATAAGCTCAAATTTAAGGTGAAATACAGCAAAATTAAATGGGGGACGTTTGACTTGGTCATTCTTGACGGGTCGAATGATTTTTTGGCGGGACTGTGGTAAAAGTTAGTTTGGAAAAATTTAAATACTCATGAAAATTTGAAATATTCAGACAGGAGAATTTGGTTTATAAGTATGTATGTAAGCATTCATTTTGGATTAGTAAGTGTTGGCATTTGTGGTTTGATATTAACCTTGTTGTGGAAGTGGCTAAAATTGAGGATGTAAATGTAATTAGCAGAGCAGAATAAGAAGAAAATACTTACATATTACAATTGGAAATACATAAAACTCATTCCATTTGCAATCTATTTGTCATAAGTATTTAATGTCTGCGTGTATAGTAGTAAATATTATTCCAATGTGTATTGTTTCTACCTTAAGGTTGGAACAATATAAGAAAACTTATAGGTACTAATATGCATTTTTTCTTTAACTCCGATCATGTTTATCTTGGTGCTAACAATTATAAGAAATAAACTCCAATAAGTTAAATTAAATGTTTTGTATTACAATTTTATTAAAACAAAGAATTTCTCACTTATGGGTAGTAAATTTGCACATATTTTTTTTTACACAATTTGGTCTATACATTACTAAAGGAAAGTACCAGTGTTTAATGGAAATTTTTCAGGCTCACAGATTCATTTACAACGAACCAATTTAGACAATTAACAACGGAAACCTTTTCTTTTCAATTGTTTGTAAAAATTGTCATCTACTTATTTGCAGAAATTCCTCGTACCAAATCAATCAGTGACTTCAGTCAAATTACATTTTGCAAGTACAAATCCCATCAAATTAACAAATATCCACACTTGAAATAGCAAAAATTCAAAAGTCACAGTCCCATTGTATGTTAAGAAAAATATCATTGGCGAAGCGAACAGTAGCCATGACGTGATAGTCGTCCAACTCCTTAATTTGCCTTGGTCATTCTGAAATCAATATACATGCAATTATTTGAATGACAAATGATTTTTTGACTTTTCAGCAGACTTATCATAACCAATAAAACCGTGATAAACATGTCGCTGCAAAATGTTAACCAATTTTCGTCTTGCTTACAGAACTTCTAAATAAAATCCAGGATGTTAAGAATTGTCCAAGTAGGAAAGGTACAGCAACGTAATAAATGTTAAAGCTGTATGCTGAAACCATAAACAAGAACACATTTAATACTACACTCTTAAAAATGTCGTAAGTATTAAGCCAACAGTTATTCATACATGTATACAAATATGTTAGTACCGTGTAGTGATAACTCGTACTAAATTTTACCGAACCGGTAGAAAATTTTTACGCATCGGTATAATTTCAATACCAAGAATTTCTTACTAAATACCCAGATATCAATACCTACGTGACTACACCAAATTTCTAACAGTCCATTGTACATAGTGTTTAGGATGAAACATATTTATTCACTACCTGATAATAACAGTGTTACCAGATTATTTAGTGTGTTATTTTGACTTACCGTACTCCTTAATACTGCAATACGTCAAGGCTCCTTCGTTCCCGGTAGAATGTTCCCCAACAAATTTGGAACAATTTTGGTCCAACCCCTCAGTCAGGTTTGTTTCAGCAAGGTTCAAAAATGGGATACCGTCATTCGTAAAGAACTTGTTAGAACACAGAGCGATATACGTGAACCAGGAGACCTAAAAAATACAACGAACTAATACGTGCTTAATTTATCCAGTAACAAATAATCAGGGTATTCACAATTGTCGGTATCTTTAGTATCGAAAAAATACTTGACGAAGAAAAAAGCACGGAATCAAGCTTCGTCAAAGGATTTTTTATTGGCAAAAATCTTACGACGCTTGAAAGATTTCGTAATCATTGTAACTTACTTAATTTACGATACGAAGCATACTAAATAAGAACACATGAAAAAGCATGAATACCCTCAATACTTTTGAAATTTTTAGTTTCAAATAAAAGAATTGGTGACTTACAACATTAAAAAGAGAAATAATTTTAGAACCAAAATATTTTGGGCCGAATGACTCCATTTTTTCTGCAGGAGTAGTTGGAATGTAATCGTAAATTGTAAATTATAAATGCGCAGCGGAGCAGATTTTTTTAACTTTCAAGATCGCGTTTGGGTACAAAAATATGTTCTTTGTTACGAAAAAACACAATACATATTTATTACTCGCATGTTTTAGTAAATAAATTCCTGCACGAAGCAGATATGCATTTATTATGGCAAAAATGTTTTTTTAGTAAAATCGCCCACTTCTCATAATCATGTGTGTTTATTACAGAATATTTAGCAATGAAATCCAAAAACATAAAAAGTTGACTTTCATGCATTTTTTAACTTGACATTGACACGAGCAATTATGTCATGTAAAAAAATCTAGTTCAATCGAAATCAAAATAAAACTAGTGTAAAAAAATTGCGAATGGCGTTTTAAAATATTTTGTCGGTTAGTTTTCCATTCGGTTATGTATACCCAAGTAGAAGAATGATATTGTTACAATGTGATAATCAACGTGTTGGATCACAGTGAATGATGGCCGCTTTTTTCATGTGTATAAAACATTGAAATTGTAAAAGTGCTCATGTTGAGGCAATGTGGTTTGAATGTGATTGCAACGTTAGGATGATATTAATATTGTCGAATTTTACATGCTTTGCACATGCCATTGATGTTAAATAAATGATGCACATTCACATTTAATTCACACCCAAATTTATTATTTCAACAATTAATGATCGTTTATTATTACAAATATCAATACGTCTATGAAAACTTTTCATACAATATTAGTGTGAATTATTATGTACATACTATGTATATTATTTATGTGCACAATTACAATTAATTGATTTAAATTATACACTTTTAAGACTGCAAAATGGTAGGCATAAATATTCATTCGAGGAATCGGACAATGGTAATAGCACGACTTTATGATAAAGGTCAGATTTCTTAATTCGTCTAGACCTAGGAGACAAATTTCGAACCACATATATACATAGCTTTGAGCTTTCACAGGGATTTGTGAAATAATCAGATTTATTACAGAAAACTGTAATTTCCACTTCGTCAGAAACTTTATTAGATTCTGTTACAATAACAATTTCCCCAGATAATAAAGCAAATCCCCTGTCCTTTGGTTTTGTCGAAATATGCAATTCTCCACATTTAGATTTGGTTAACAAATTAGACTGCTCTACCTCATATATTCTACGAATTACTTGTGCGAGCTCGTGTTTTTTTCCTCTGACCATTTTTTTGAGAAGTTGCATGTAGTTCTCAAACTCAAAAGCATTAATTTTTTCTAGGGACCCAAATTTTTTAGCGTCATCTGCTAAATGAATTAACGAATGTACGTTATATACTACAAATTCGGGCCTGTATAACTCGCTAGCTTTTTCAACGAAGGAATTTAACATTTCTCCTGCGTAATTATACCAATCTCTATTATCAGATAATAATATCCTAACCGCAACAGATAACTGTAAAAAATGTTCGTATTTTTCCTGAGACAAAATTCCTTTTAGAACCAGTGGACCTAGGTATAAGAGAAATGTCCTATATTCAGTTGCCTTCCAATAATCGACTTCCACCAGCGACCGTGGCTTGCGATTAAACTCTGACGGTATAAAATTTTTACAGGCAATTAAACGTTCAGAAATCTGTGCAATATTTTGCCTTCCAATTCGCAAAGGAATTGGTCCACTTCTCCAGCAAGATATTAATTTTCTAGTTACACCCAGGCACACTAAGTGCATGTAGTCAAGGACAAAGCTACTAACCATTCCTATTTCTAATTTGGATAAAATGGATTCCTTAACCTGATGATTGTGGTACATATTTCTTCTAAAATCTTGGTCATTTCTTAGAGGGGCGTCCAATTCGCTAAACACTACTCTCCCCAGCCATTGACCTTTCTGAGTGCATCTATCACAACCATAATAACCATTAAATGCAACACAGTTTTTAACAAAATTTCTAGCGGGCGCATCCGCAACTATGCATTTAATGGAAATTTTTCGTACCAAGCCATTAATTTCAACCCCATTGCCGAGCAGCAGTGTGAGCTCTTCAACTAGCGGACCAAGAAGTTGATCAGATTTTTCTGGTTTACAAAATAAACTAAAATACAAGCCAACGAGAAAAGGTTTGCCATTATTTAAAATATCGCCACTTGCCAAAATAGGCCAAAACTGTTTTTTGCTGGAGCGACTGATTGGGAGACCGTCAATTCCTATTTTTAATTCAATTGTTTCAAAATTATCGGTAAACCCAGCAATTTTACTTAATCTCTGCAATTGTCGCTCTAATCCAAAATGATAATACTGCCCACCATCAATTAAATCTATTTTATATTTTGTAGGGGTTTTCATTAATGTTTTGTAAGACTCTGGAAGATTCCCACCAGGAATATTAGCACTTAATAGTTTTAGTAAATCGTCTACTGCCACACCATTTATTTTGTGTTTTGCCACCCATTTCACTAAACCTGATTTAAAATCTTGGTCCCCATCGTTAACTTCATCACTGTCGTACTAACTAAAACTATTAATGGCTTCCTTCTCTAATCCATAACTATATTGAGCCCCATCATTATAAACGGTTGTATTATCTGGTAACAAATTGTCTAATACCGAATTGTCCGAAAGCTCAACCGTACCTACCGAGATTTCATCTAGTGCATCAACTTCAAGCACGAGATTTTCATAACTTTTTTGAATAATTCTACGCTTATTTCTACTTGACGACATTTCCTATATTATTTTAAACAAAGATAATCTAATCGGTGGAATCTTGAGAAATAGAAGCCGCTGCTTTCCTTGGCCTCGAGTACCGGAAGAAGTCCATCACTATTTCACGAATGGCAAACTCAGTTTTTTCCACTTCTGCAGGGAGTCTCTTATTTTTCTTTGTTGCAGCTGAAAATTAATTTCAGGAATATTCAAATTGATTTTCATATGTTTGTAATTAATTGACGAACCTGTGATGCAATTAACAATATGTTTGTAGATATTAAATGGTTTTTTGTTCTTTCCTAGACCAGTGTAGCTCAAATCTATGGCGAGATCTTCGCTAACAATTCTCTGTAAAATTCGCTTGACTGTTTCGCCGGGACTTTTACCTCCAATGTCAATTAGATAAAGTACCTAAACGCATAAAAAATTAATTAGCTAAAACATGAATTATTTTGGCATTGTTGTATGTATAGTACTTCATCTTACAAATAATTTCCGTTCATCGTCTATAGCCAATTGCGACTCGAGTTGTTCAAGGGCGTCCACACTTTCAAGGGGAAAGATTGGCAATGACGAGAAGTCAGGCTCTTCCGTTTCCGTGTTCAAGTCAAGTCCTACTCCGATTCTATTCTGATTGTTGAGAAGTAAGTCCAACTTTTCCAGTATTGATTTTTGTCCAGTTTTTATTGCTGCCAAATGTTTGAGCACAACTTTGTTAAAACCTGAGTAACAAGTTTGTTAAAAAAATTAATCAACTGGCTTAGTATAGTTAGCATAATACCTTATAAAACTACATCATACTATTTTAATCACAATTATACATTTAATATATTTACATATTATTACCTTGTGTCTGCAACCCCAAATTTGACTATGGTGATGGTACCGGTGATGAATAAATAGGATGGGAGCCGAAATTTACGGATTGGTCATCTTGGTTTACATTTGTATCGTTAGGAATAATAGCTAAATTTAACTGTCCATCACCTGAAGGTGTGGCATTCATATACAAAATTTGGCTTCCTGACGAATCTGTCTCAACATTTGATATGGCTGAACGTTCTAGACAAATCAAAGTAGTTTATAATTTAATTGTGAATATAATTGCAATAAGTATCTGTCTAGTTAAAAAAAACTAACCAACAACTCACCCTCATTATTTCCTGACAAAACGAGGCCCTGGTCAATTTGTGCACGAGTCACGTCTGCTAAGTCGCCTGAAGTTGTTTCAAATAACACATTATTATTTGTGCGCTCAATTAGACAAAAATATGTTATCAATTTTTTGGCAAAATAATTTAGTTTACCAAGTTTAAATAAAGTTTGTGGCACAGAATTAATCACAGATTTAGTAATTTTCTTCGCTTTTATTGGTGGTCCCTCGTCATCTGTCGAATCTGAACTGGACTCTGGTCGCCGGTGGGTGGACCGTTTTGTAGAAAAATTAATATCCAAATCGGATGTGTTTTCGGCTAAAACGGCTGCTTGCTGGGCGGCTTCAAAAGTTTCTATCAAAAAACACCAGAGTTTAAAAATTAACCTAGAATAAAATTATATACTATTTAAAATAGCTAAAAATTTACCAAAATGTCCCAATATTCTGCACGCACATTTTCCCCAACTTCGATCAGGCTTAACTTGTTCTCGTCGTATTTTAGTCAAATTCGTTGACAAGCAACGAGTAGGCCAATAACACTGAGTTTTCGAGATAAGCCACGTTTGCGGAATAACGTCCACCGTTTTTGGGTTATCAGTAGGGAATTCAACAACTAAAAAATTCATTTTGGACAAGACGAAAAATGAACAGTCAAAGTGAATGAGAATAAAGAAAGAAGAGCATGCCAGCCGGATAAATCATTCGCGCTCCTTTGTAGCTTGTGATTTCAATGTGAAACAAACATGCATTAAACGTTCAGTCGATGTTGTCCTACGGTTATCAAAAATGACGCTCGCGCATTCAGTCAACGTTGTGTGAAGGTGATGAATCCCAACAAAAGTTATCTCAACGTGATTTCAATATTGAAAATAAAGTGTGATTTTTAATGGCTCATTTTACGTTGCATTAACATTGCCGACCAATGACATGCCATCTTCTAATCACACTCACTAGGTTTCAACATAGGCATTGTTGAAATCACATTGTTACAATATAACTCATCTACTTGGGTATACATAACCCGCAAATACATATGGTCGTGCAGTTACAAATTTTAGAAAAAAAGCTAAATAAATATTTCCAATTTCATTTCGTGAAAAGACTTTCGCTCATTTATTACGATTGCCGTAGCTCGTTTGACAAACTTCTCACATACAGAAATGCATGCAGATTGGCCAACATGTAATAAATATTTATAATATTTCCCGTTATAAATTCCCGGAAAAAAATCAGAAGTAAGATAGACCACATCGCCATAGGAATGCTAACAATATACCAAGTCTTAAGCTTTTTCGGATCCCTCTAGAAAAAATAAGTAGGTATTTACATATTAAATCAAGACATAAATCAATATATTGATTTATGTTTGTGTACATATGTAATAGCGATGGTAAAGTTATAAACAGACAGGTATTAATCAATTACGAATCTGTGTAAAGTTTGTAAAAATTTACAAATAAAAAAATAGCCACAATTATATTAAAACCTTCACAGAGGTAAATAGTATTGGAGATCACTCAAAATTTGAATCTAGGCAACTGACAAATGTATAAATTTACTAATTCGCAATATACAAAAAGGCATTTCACGCAAGCTTTGGAAACATAACGTTGTAAAATCCTTAAGTTCTGTAAACTTATAAACTTTTACAAATTTTGCAAATATTTCTGAAGAAAATTAGCCCACAAATTTTTCCAAACTTATTGAGATCAAGGGCGCCTCTGTACATATTTTGTAAAACTAACTATTTTAAAAACTAAGATTTACTCAGATTTTTTTACTTACATTTAACAAGTTACAAATAATTTCGTGAATTGCCTCACTATAATTCTTATGAATATCTTAATTATAATTATGTGTGTGCACTAATTTTGATATAATTTGTAAAATTATATCCCTACCGAGTTTACTCCTTGCAAAAATATTTCCACATTCTTAACCCAGACAAGCATCAAAGGGACGACGGGCAGGGCTGGATTAATGTTCCAAAGGTCTTGTAAATAATTTGAAACAATTAAATAACAAGATTAAAATTGTAATATATTTTATTTTTTACTGGCTTAAATTAATTTTGCTTGGAGCCAATCAGTGATCACCTGTACTTGTTTCGGAACTCTCGCTATGAAAATTATACGATCCTCCTGCTTGGCTTGTCTGATTCCAGTAAGTTTCCGTAGCACGGAGCAACGGTGTGCGGGTGTTAATCGTGTAAAATGTTAACCCTATTAGACCTCCGATTGCGAAAACCTGAAAAATATTTACCATATTGTATTTACTTAAGTTTTTTTTAAGTAAAGTTTAAAAAGGTTCAAGTTTTTTTTCGAAGTTATGTACCAAATGGTAATAAGCAACCCATTTGCAAGTAGAGGGTATGCTATTGTCACACGGGAAGTGCTCCTTGATGGTCATTTTGCGTCAAATCCGTAATGAACTAAAAGTTTTTGTATGGTTGGCAAAAATATTAGCGTGTTGTTGCGTGAGTCTACATATTTCTGGTTTTGAATGCAAGAATTAATGACACGCAATTTGTAAACATTATTTTTTTGTGGGCGGATTTATACTACTTTGTGTCGCAAGGGTTAGTTTTTTTTAGTAAATTGTTTGTGATTTATCACCGACCTTAATAATGAGGAATTTGTACCTACAGGTACAAACATACATGTAATCGGTTTCTAGCATGACGACGAGGTTACACCTACATACATATTTACGAAAAGTACGAAGGATTGTTATTGATTTCGAGATGTCAAATAACTTTTCAAGAAATACGTAAGATAAGCGAGTAATTTCATAAAACTGGGAAAGTATCTATGTACATATGTTTACACTTTTAGAAAAAATTAATCACATTAAATATTACTGGTTTGAGTAAATATGTATTTACATAAATGACTCTACCGGAACTGTAGTAGGTTTTAGTGATGTGGTGGTAAAAGAGAACTTATACCACTCGGAGACAAACTATCAATAGTGTAAACATATGAACATATGTACATATTCATATATATATTTGCACAAAAAGCATTATGTTAAATTTGCGAGTATGTACATGCAATGTTTAATGCTTTGGGTAAAAATGTACCCATTATGCATATCTACATATTATTTCTATTGGCTATCTTCTAAATATGATGCATTGTGTTTCCCACTGCAAATGGTAAAAAAAATGATACTATTTAATTTAATAATTATTCAAAAATAATCCACCTGTGTAGGTACATAAATATGTACTACTGTTGAAAGAATTTTATTAAAAGCTGTATTCATTCATGCAATACATGCCACTCCAGATCTAAGAATGATTAGTTGTATACATATTTAATTATCTCGTTTGTTGTGGAGTAATCCTTTGGCTTAAATAGATAAATAAGTCGGGAGTTTATTAATACGCGGAAAACCCAGGGATTTGCGATAAGTCATCATTTCTATGAAAATTGCATTCAAAAGGTTGTACAAATATGTGATTGATTAAGCTGATTCAACTATTTGGTTTAATGGAGGGTTCGATTCTGACGTGAGTACGGGTGGTGATGAGATATCTATTTACCCCTCAGAATCAAAGCATTACCAATACGGTTAGGAATTATCACGAAATCAATACCAGTATGTGGCACATATGTGAATCCACCGAATGCTTTGCAGTGTGTATAGTACGTGAATGGTGTTGTATGTATGTATTTACGTTATCTTTTTCATCCGTGTAAGTGGATAAGCCATTATGTCGCCAAGCGTGGCAATAACCTCACCTGCATATTTACAATTATGAGAACAACATCAGCGGAAAGGTCAACAATATTTTACGCTGGTTTTACGCGAAAAAATTTATCCAGGATCGTAAATAACATAGTACAGATATCGCTGGGTTGAAAGAGTTGGTCATACAAAAAGCTGTCACAATTCGATCGTCAGTGCTGATAGTCACAGCATAGCAGAGAAGTAAATGTTCATGGGGAATGAGGGTTCACCCTCTTGCAGTGAAAAATTCCCATATGTGACAATTATTTATTAGTTGTGATTGAGGAAGTCATCAACATGGAAAAAGAATTTAACCGTGTGGTCGACCTAGCGCCGAAAACTCCTTTTTTGAACCCTTTGGTGAGTACTGCGTTAAGAAAGTGACCAATTTTATAATAATTCTTGTAAATTAGATTCTATAGATTAAGATGACAGCGAATTCGAGGCTAGAGAAGATACTTAGCATTTACATTTGGAGTATTCAGCATATCTTTAGTATTGTAACATCCTTTACAAAGACAAAAACAAGGGGGTTACGTATCATATCATATTGACCGTTAGCTTAGTATGCTATTTCTTATGACAAAATCGCGCAACCGTCGTAATCCATTTACGATACGAAGAATACTAGGGATGCGAAGGAATTATAAATACTCTCATTGTCCGTTCAAACTTGAAATTTTCAGTTTTCAAAATTTCAATCATTAATTTATTAACTTTTCAGTCTAATAATATTCAATTCTCGTATCCCCTAAACAGCGATTGCTCAACTCATGCTCAAGTCCCCCTTCAAGCCTATTCATAACATTTTATCACAGCAAATTTGCTTGTTTACAGATTTTGGAAAAAGTATTTTCTTTTCTGGACGACGCAACCTCATTAAAGTCCGTTCGACTCGTTTGTTCCGTTTGGGCCGAAGTCGGCGTCAAACCACTCGGGCGAAAAGTTGGCGTCTTTTTCAACTCGGTCGATTTTTGTGCAATTTGTCGCCACGATAAGGAGCCATCAAAGGACATCAACTACTTCAATCCTCAGCTCGCCAAGAAGGTTAATATCATCATTGGCTGCCATTGCTCATCATGTTTTCTCTTCCAGGAAGACAGTCTCCCGGGCAAACTGGTTACAATTTTGCCTCAAATTGGCGACCACGTGGAAACGCTCGATCTATTCGTAAAAGACGCAAATAGATTAAACTTAAACGATGTCTGGATTCATTACATTTTCCCAAACTTGAACCAGAAATGGATCGATCCAATACCAAAATGTTGTATCGTAACGCACTCCGGCGACGTCATGGTTGAGATAAAAGCGCCAAAATTGAAAACATTCCATTTCTCGGGGTGTGATGGATATGGGTTGAACTTGCATGGTACCTGTGAACAAGTTAAAGCTATTGTTCAGGATGTGCTATACACTGCCAAGAACTTGGAAGAGTTCCACTCTGAGAGCTGTTTTAAACAACTGGATTTATCGTTCTGTCCAAAAATCAAAATTTCAAATATCAAATGTACTAAGGACATACACAATTTTTCAGTTGAACTATGGTAAGGCATCCCAAAGTTATCTGATTAACTAAATGAATCGATAAAGAAGACTAGTTTGAAGTTGTGAAATTTATATTTAATTATGTGCAAAATACTATGATCATTCCGTGCTATTTATTCGGATTACAGTTTTATAAATACATACGCCAAAAACATAAATAAATAAATTTTAAATTGTACTTTCCATGCGTTAAACGATTCACTCTTAAAAATATTGTTACTCCCACTTTGAATTTTAGGTACATTAACAACCTACATTTGGCGAAGCATATTTTTCAAGAATCCGATGATACCTCTTACAGTAACCTTGTCAGTATTTCGGGTGCAAGTAACCACCTGCAAGAAATAACCACAAGAAAATGGTTTCTTGCAGCTATTTTTAGCCGCAAGAAATGCAAGGTGCAAGAAACTCCTTCCCGCCGCTGTAATTCTTAGGGCGCGTCGCTAGAGGGCGCTGTGTTTCTTGAATTTCTTGCAGTTTCTTGCACCTTGCATTTCTTGCATTTCTTGCTTTGCAGTGCAAGAAATTAAGCAAACCTGCAAGAAACGAAACACTGAACATTGTCATCCCTTTATTGCATGGCACACACGTGACGCACAATCATAAGCTTCATACATACATATTTACTACTAGGGATATTTACCTAAATATGTACATATTTAACTAAGCACGCGTCACTAATGTACTCACATAACCACGTGAATGGAAAATATGTATGCACATATATATATAAGCTAAATTACAACTTTTGATTAATCCCAAATATAATTAGATCATGGTCAAATTGGACGTCAAATTTTCAACAGTTGCTTGCAACTTGCTGAATTGCAAAATGAATGGGATCCGAAAATGAATTATTTATCGGAGAGGTACATGCAAATATGTACGTAGCATATATTTCTGAACCAAATTGCGACGTTAAATTGCTCTAAACTTAGCGATTTAATTAATCTATGGCACCCAAACTCTAAAAAACCTAGCGACAAAAGTACTACATCCACATTGGTGATAGAGATTGTTACAATTTCCGTGGTAGTATGCTGCAGCTTGGTGATAGACTGTCACCGAACTGGTGATGGGTACGTAGGTAATTGCCACGTGCCACGTGGTGCTTCCGCTGTAACCTCGCAGTATATAAATATTACCATCATCCAGTGGAACATATTGGTGATAATATGGTGGCGAAAGTTTTTAGAGTGTACTTATTACGCATTTCTTACACAATAAATTGCACCTCCAGGATTAGAGGAAACCTTTAATAACATTTACGTCACGATGGACGTACGTTCATTTTCTTAATTCAGAAATAATTTCGCTTCCTTACCCCAACTAAATTTCATCAAATATTGCTCACCTGCAGAGGTTGCAGTGGTGCAAAAATCTTAATGCAAAACTAACACGCAAATTTTTCTTCTAAAATGACGGAAACTTTCCTAAGCAAAATTTTGATTCCGTCCGTCACGCCGTTCGATGCTCTTCAACGCTTCGGCAAACTTGGTTCCTTCTTCTACCCGCAGTCCATCACTTGGCGGGAAGAGCCCTACCCCACCCAATGGCCAAAGGTCATCACAGCCCACGTCATGACGGGCTTGCTTTTCTATGCAAGCCTACATCTTACTTGGGTCGGGTTCCAGCAAATAATTTCGTACGAGAAGGACCCCGATTTTTCGGATAACACCGGGCTCACGGGACTTGTTTTCATTATTGGCCACTGCTCAGTAATTGCCGCTGCGACGGCAAGTACTTTTTATGGGGTTAATGCGTCCTCGATCTCGTTGGGATTTAGACAGCTGCAGAAGATATGTAGAAGTACGAATTATGAGAGTAAGTTTACACTCTTAATTAATTTATGATTCAATTGTTACCGGCGGAGGTACATACAGTACTGAAAAGTTCAATGTTTCATGGAGGGTATTCATTATTCCTTCATACCCATCGTATCGTAAAATATTTTGTTTTCGAAAAAAAACAAGGGACAAGCGTTGTAAAAATCGTAAGCTTACTGAAGCTGGGCTCGGATCTGCTTCCTCTAAAAAGTCCTGTTTTGATGGGTTTTGAGCGTGCACGCACTCTCGCCTACTTTTGTACGGAGTCATGTGAAATTTTAAACTTTGTCCTAGAGATGCGAAATTTGGCATGCACATGTACCAAGATATCCTGCCTCATAATCTAACATCAATTCCCGTTCCGTTCGCTATAAATTTTTCAGGAAAAATTAAAAACCAAATGTCACCCCTATTCCGTTTGGTTTTTGATTTTTCCTGAAAAATTTATAGCGAACGGAACGGGAATTGATGTTAGATTATGAGGCAGGATATCTTGGTACATGTGCATGCCAAATTTCGCATCTCTAGGACAAAGTTTAAAATTTCACATGACTCCGTACAAAAGTAGGCGAGAGTGCGTGCACGCTCAAAACCCATCAAAACAGGACTTTTTAGAGGAAGCAGATCCGAGCCCAGCTTCAGTAATAGCGTAACTTTTGACAAAAAATTTTACGACGCTTACAAAATCTCGTAACCCTCATAACTTATTTGACGATACAAAGAATACATACAAGCAAGGAATAATGAAGATCCTCAATTTTTAACAAAAAAAGTAAATACGTACGTATTTTTAGAATCTTGGACCCCCAAACTCGACCAGCTGGGCCTGTATCTGCACAGCTTATTGGGAACCATCATTTTCGCCCCTGTCTCCCTCACCCTCATCAACCTCCTATATCCCATCAACGATCCATCTTACTTTATTCTTCGCAGCGTGCCCATCCTACCCGCCTGGGGAAAGACTATACTTCGCGCCGTGTCCATCCCGCTATTTGGATGGCAAATTTCCGTCATGAATATGGGAACTATTCTCATACTTTGCAACGTAGCGGTGATGTTTCATGACTCGTTGACAATTTCATCAAATCTTAATTTTACCCAAGAAACAAACTATCTCGTTAAATACCGCCAACTTCAAATTGTGTCTGTCACCATGAATCAGGGATTCTTCTACGTTATCCCGGTCGGGCTGGGTTGTTCTTTCGTTTGTTCGGTTGCATCGGCCTACGTGGTCATTAAGTTTTTCTCAGTTGTCCCCTTGGCCACCTTAACCCCTGCAGTGGCCATTATGTCGAGTCTGGTAGGGATGTCCCACGTGGGTCTGGATCTTCTGGGGAATATTGGGACACGTTCGGCTAACTTTGTGCGGTATTTTGGCTTTCGAAGGGGACGTGAACCGTATTGGAGGAGGAAATTGAGGAGTTACAGTAACATTGGATTTCGTGTGGGCCAATTTACTACCCTGGGTAAAAAAGTGAGGGTGAATTTCTTATCGAATCTGTTGTACTACACGGCAACAGCGTTGATTTCGAGCGGAGGAAATTCTACTTATTAGGGGAAAATACAGAGGAAACAGATTAGCAGTTTCAAATGTGCAATAAACCATCTAAGTTCTGTTGACCTTGAAAAATTGAGCAAATTAAATAAACCGACTCGTGAATCCTCGATGACGCAACTCGACTCGACTCAACTCAACTAATGACATTTTTAACTTATTTATATAGATAGATAAGGCGAAGCTTAGATATCTCAGCACACCCCACCGGCAAAACTGTTGGATTCTTTGTCAATTAATACACATGGCTTCTTTGGAAGCTTTAACACCGATATGTCACGCAGTTCATCAAGTTTCTTCAACTTGTCGATAAAAGCATTGATTTCTAAAATCGCTTAATAAAGATCTTTTGAACAATGTAAAATTAATTCTACGATAATGTACCAAGTCAAATCAATGTTTATAAGCAGTCTTCCCATTGAAGATTCCAAAGCAATGCCACATTGATAAAGTTACACGTGACTACCGCCTCCTGGCATTATTTTAATACCGGAATTGTAAGAGTGGATGTATGTGCATACGCGTGCTTGAGGCAGAAATGACCTCTCACGTGAGAACTGCACCTGCAAGTTGCATGACTTAACATGTACTATTAACATACGTACATATAAATTTACCTGGAATTACCTATTTTTCCTCGTGCCTAAAACTACCTAGAGTCTTGTCAAAACCTTGGCATAATGCAATTTGTTGCATTAAGTTGAACATCAGGTAAACCACATGTGAACATCAGCTTGATCAAAATTACCACAAAATTGAGGAAATGAGCATACATACATAAATATGTATATACATATGAATGCATGTACATAAATACTTATCTATTTCTGACAGAGGTTGTATTCTTTCTGGTCAGGCGACACTTTGTACATATTACAATACGACGGACCGATTGTGATTCACAGTCTGTGTGAATCACAATCCGGATAAGTCTTTATCACAATTTGTGATGAATAATTCGAATTAGTATTGCAACATTAGCCTACTCTGCTAGCGAGCGTCTGCCTCGTTGTGCTCATAATTTGTGCTTCTAATTAAAATAATTTATTAAAATGTCGAAAAATATTTATTACAAGTTTTACTTAATTTTAACTCCACTTTGTGTTCCACCTTCACTGCAAATTTCTCTTGAAGAATTTGTTACTTTAACCAGTAGTCAGAAAGCAGCACTGGAACAGGTACATAGGAATATCTATGTCTCATAATTTCAAATAAATATCACCCAACAAGTAAGATTTCGCTGTGTATAAATAGATTATGTTGGATTCCGAATTTTAGATTAGTGGCAAATACATAAGTTTTATTTTGCAGTTTCGAACAGCCGTGAGCTCCCAACTTCCGCATCAATACATGAAGGAGGACGTTTATTTGATACGCTGGTTGAGAGGTGGGTTTCCTAAAAACTATTTCTTGAAATTTTCCTTCTCATGTTTGCACATAACATATATACGAGTCTTATTTGAAATTAAAAGATCATGACGAATGTATTGGACCGCCCCTTAAAACGCGCGCTGGGCGGGAATACAGTGAAATTAATTTTCGAAAAAATTATTTTTGAATACACCAAAGTATAAGCTTTCCATTGATATGTGCATTAACTGTGTAAAAAGTTCTGAGCATTTTATTACGCCGGTCTAATACGTTTGTCATGATCTTTTAATATGTAGAAATATATTTATGGGACAAATTTTACAGTGCAAGATTTTGACGTTCCACGGGCAACAATTCGCACTTTAGCAGTAAGTTCCGTTAAGTCAGAGATATTTATGCAAACATGGCAATATTATACATCAACAACGGTTCTATAGGATATCCAGTGAAGGGAAGATAACGATATGGACAATATTTTAGAAGAAGATTGGTCCGATTTCGACAGCGAGTTTCGAGCAAATATCGAAGGCTGTGACAAATTGGGACGACCAGTCCTCTCAGTCACGATCGGTGACTGGGACCTCCGCCGCGCCGTGGTCTCCGGTCATTCGGATCGTCTCGCCAGATATTTCTGCAAAGTGTTCGAAGCGGGATCCGTATTGACGAGAAGGTTTCAAAAAAATGAGCAAAGAGCTGTCCAAGCATCAGTGATTTTTGACATGGGAAATTTCAACCTAGTTCAGCATGGATGTGCAAGATGTGAGATTTGTAAAAAAAATCATGCAAACAATGATATTAACTCGAAAACCTGGTTTTTCTCAATTTTTTATACAGGTTTATCTATATGTTTCCATATGTTTACCGTTATCGAACAGCACTACCCATATTTCGCACATTGGGTTACCTATATAAACAGTAAATTTGAAATTTGAAATTTCTCGTGTTGTGCCGTATAATCAAATTAAAAATAATTTTATACGACAGCTCCAGAAATTGCGCATCCAATTTATGACATCCTCAAACCTATCCTATCCAAACATGTCACCGAAATATTGCACATTTTTGGCCGAAACAAGAAAAAATGGCAGAAGTTTTTGCTCGAGGAAATTGACGAGTCCCAACTTACGAAAGATTTGGGTGGGAAAAATTGGGAAGCCTTGGATTACGTGGATATTAGAGGGGCAAATACGTCGATGTACACCTGTGCGAATATGGATATCCTTCGTGGTTACTTAGCCTAGTTTTTAATCCACACGGTATTTTAATATCTACGAGATAGTGTAAACGATAAGTCATCAATTTTCATTATCCAGGGTGACGATTAGCATATTCTCCAGCAGAAGCACAACTTGTATCGATTTGTTAAATAACTTTCCACCAGACTGGTATCAGTTTGTTTCTTGGTGGTAAATTTTTCATTACAGCAACATTACTTAACTGTGGTGCCCATTATTACCAGTGCCGGTAGTCACATAAACAAATACACATTTATGTATGTACATATGTACTCCGGTTAGTAACGATTTAATACCAGTTTCTATGTAGCAGTGTACGAGAGCCACAGTACTTAATAAATACCTAATATACATAAGTATGTACATAATATGTACTTGCATAACTTCAACCGCAGTTATTTTTTCTGGTGCATAAAAACTTGCTTGATCGTCTCCAGACACTGGGATGGCATTCAATTTTTTTGCATTTTTACTTATGTTAGTAAGGTGAAGGTACATAAGCTAAACCAATCGTGAGAACCAGTCACTGGTAAAGTAAAATGAAGTAATGAGCATACTTACATATGTGCATACTTATGTACATAAGCATGTATCCTCATACTTATGTAAGCATGTATGTACTTGTGATAAAGGTTGCAATTTTTTCTTGACAGGGTGTCAAGGTACAGATCGCGTATGTACGTCAACAATATGATTAAAAATTGTGCTGAGGAATTACATATCCACCACTGCATTACTTTGCTTCCACGTCTGTCTCGTTGTGCTCGTATTCTTACTAAAATCATTTACAAAAATGAGGAAAACTATGTATTATAAGTTTTACCTAATTTCAATTCTTTTTTGTGTTCTGCCTTCGTTACAAATTTCTCTCGAGGAATTTGTGACTTTAACCCGTTCCCAGAAAGCAGCACTGGATCAGGTAAAAATATTTGTCATACTTATGTACATACATGTTTCTAATTGTAAATAAATATGATGCAAAAAGTTTTAGATACATAAATTGAGATAATCTTGGATTCAGAATTTTACACTAGTTTACCAAATATGCTTTAATTTTGCTTATGTATTTGCAGTTTCGTAGTGCTGTTAGTTCCCAACTTCCACAGGAATATATGAAAGATGATGTTTATTTAATCCGTTGGTTGAGGGGTGAGCGTATGTGTATTGGAAATGTTTTCATGAAATGCCATGTTTGCACGAATTATGTCCTAGTTTAAATTCATAATTTACATATGTATGTATGTCTACCTAAAAATGTGGGATAAAATTTACAGAGCAAGACTTTGAAGTGTCACGGGCAACAAGTCGCATACTGGAAGTAAGTCCCGCTAATTTGAATACACACTTAAAAATAATGTTCCCTTTTTGAAAAGTATACGCATTCTAAATTCTGTATGAGGTAAACTATGCCTGTGTAACGAAAACCCGAGTAATGTTAGGAACAATTTTTTTTTCCGTAGGATATTCAGTGGAGAGAAGAAAACGATATTGATAATATTTTACACGAAGACTGGTCCGATTTTGACCGTGAATTTCGAGTGAATGTTGAAGGCTGTGATAAAACGGGGCGTCCCATCCTCTCAATTCCGGTCGGAGATTGGGACCTTCGTCGCGCCATTGTTGCCGGTCAGTCTGACCGCCTCAGGAGATATTTCAGCAAAATGTTCGAAGAAGCAGCCCTAGTCATGCGAAGGTTTCAAGAAAATGAGCAACGAGCTGTCCAAGGATGGATAATTTTTGACATGGGGAATTTCAACCTAATTCAGCAGGGATGTGCACGATGTAAGCTTTGTAAACAAAATTGATGCAAAAAATTGTTTAACCTCGAAAACTTGCACTGCTACAAATCTGGTAAAAATTGTTGGTATTACTTAAAGTTTCTACCGCTTGATAAAGTTACACATTTTATTAGAAATTTGCTACCGATATGGCAAAATTTTTGTTCCGAGCTGTTTCTACAACGCTTTGCATAACAATGCCATTTTGTATGCAAAATAGTACCGCTTGGTATTATTTTAATACTGAATTTCTAACAGGGTTTCGATTGGTAAAAACCAAATTGACCAGGGCAGCGGGAAAAAGTGGGAAAAAGGCACTTTTTACCACCCACCCAAAGTTGGTGGGAAATGGGAAAAATGGAAGAAATGGGAGAAACTCTGGTTTTGGGGCAATCCGAAACAACTTTTTTCAAACTTAAGATTTTCAAAATCTGACGTCATGTTCGTATTCTCCTTCAAATTCTGAGAAAATTAGTTGGTAATACGGTTCAATTCGAACAATCTCTAAAATTAACATGTGTTCATATGGGAAAATTGGAAAAATAATCAAAACTTATCAAAAGTGCCCGTATTACATATCAAAATTTTCAGAAATTCGTGGAGATCACGAATATGAAGTTCAATTCGGAAAATATTGATTATTAATGAAGTTAGCTATCCCCATAACTAAATACATGGGCAGCCATATTTTCCCATTTTGGACGGTAGAAACCGCTTTTCCCGGTTTTTACCACTTTTTCCCACCTGCCGTGGTAAAAAATCTTGACGGGAAAAACGAAACCCTGATTTCTAAGAGTGTAACATTTCTCGATGTTGTATGTTTTTTTTGTACAGGTATACCCTTATTTTTCCACATTTTATCCGTTATTGAGCAACATTACCCATATTCTCTGCACAAGGTTATTTCTGTGAACAGTACGTGGGAAAATCTTTATGAAATTTATTTAATACACTCTTCCGTACATTTAAATTGTGAAATAATTTTAACCCAAAGCTCCAGAATTTGCACTCCCAATTTACAATATCTTCAAAGGTATTCTATCGAAAGAGGCAACCGAAACTTTGCACATTTTTGGCAGGAATAAGAAAAAATGGGGGGAGTTCTTGCTAGAGGAAATTGACGAGTCCCAACTTTCGAAAAATTTGGGAGGGACAAATTTGGACGCTGTAGATTATGCAGATTTAAGAAGGGCGGATCCTTCCTCGTATACTTGTCCTGATCTGGATCTCCTTCGTCATTAGTGCAATTTTGAAGCATGGAATGGACATAAATATTAAAAAATTAATGTGAATACATTTTTTAATACTACATAGCTGTAAAATTCGTTGTATTCGTTATAAAACAATAAACATTAATCTACCAAATTTTCAGTACGCAAAAAATGTCATATTTGCCAATAATTATTATTCATATGTATGTTGTCGAGATATTTTTTAAATGATGACGAGATAAAGAATTCATACGCTGCCTGAAATTCCTAATTGTCTGGATTAGTATGACATTATCTACGATCGATAAAAAAATCAGACATTTATGTATGTACATATTCATGGAAAGTTGAAGCAAAACACTATGGGAAATCCGTCCAAATTATCTCTCAAAATTCCAGGAGCACTTTTCCAGAGATATTTTTGCATTATCCAAGCTCTGAGGGGTCGAAGAACTGCTCATAAAAAATTCGAAGAACCACACCCACTTTGGGTGTGGTTTTTTGATATGACAGCATATGGTGCTAAACTAGATTTCGATTTTGATATTTCGACATTCCAAGGCTGATATTTCGGGCAATATGCTGTCGACATGCTCAAAAACTGTTGAATAAGTATACTGAAGAGTAGAGAGGTATTTGTTATGAATTTCAGCTCTCTAGCTCCATGTCGAAATTTCGACATGTCGACATCGTTCCCTTACGACATGGGTTAATTTCACTTGCGACCGACTTTTCCTGACTAGCTGAAGCTAGATATCAATTTTCGCTGCTCTGCGTCATGTTGAATTTTACCCGTTTGGGACAATTTCGACATGATTATTTTCAATGTTCCCAGGCTAATATCTTGGGAAGGGGCAGATTTCAGATCTCCGTTTTTCCTGGAACAAGTAGATCTCACCTAGGACTACCATAAAGAGTCCTTTTAAGCCCGAACCAGGGCTTATGTAATTGTCATGTCCGTCTGTCTGTCTGTCCGTCTGTCTTTCGATAACTCTCGAACGAGTTGACCGATTGACTTGAAATTTTTACCATATGCATATTGGACAAAGTTAGGAAACGAGTTCGAAGATGGGTGACATTGGTCCAGTGGTTGACCGGTGGGGGTCATCGGAGTGGGTGGGGTATTATGCACCAAAATTTCAAAATCGTCATAGAAAGCTCAAATTTGGTACAAAGGTTGCTAATGGCTCCTAATGAAAGAATATGAAGTGAAATTGGAAAATTTGTCAACCGGAGGTACCCGAGGGGCTGACCCATACCGATTTTTCAAAATCATCCAATCGAGCTGAAATTTGGTATAGAGGCTGCTAATGGCCCGTAATGGAAGAATATGAAGTGAAATTGGTAAAATTTTCATCTATGTAGAGGGACCCTATGGGGTGACCCCCACCGATTTTCAGAAATTAACATAGAAAGCTGAAATTTGGACCAGAGATCCATACTGCCTTTTCACGAAATAACATGAAGTTAAATATGAAAAAAATTAACCAGGAGGCTATAGAGACGACCTCCACTAGGAAGTAGTCAAGGGAAAGGATAGTAAATATTTTTAGAATTTGGAGCCTAGTAATACGAAGGATTGATAGAAGAATTAGTGCAAAATAGTAGCACATAATTTCATAGAAAACTACTGACTTGAGTACTGACAAAGATGGGTTTACTAATCATTCCTGGTTCGGGCTAAGCAAAGCTGTACTGATAGGTTTTGGAGTTTGGTATCTGCCCCATTCGTTGAGCCACGCCCCCAAAGTCGGGGTTTTTTGACTGTCGCCAAGGTTCCCATGCTCATAACTTTTTTGTTTATGGACGGATTTGGATGCAATTTTTATGGTAGGTCGACAATCGCATGGACTACAATTTTAAATATGGCGATTGACTCTAACTCCACTAGGAAAAAACCACACCCAAAGTGGGTGTGGTTCTTCGAATTTTGTATGAGCAGTTCTTCGACCCCTCAGAGCTCGGATAATGCAAAAATATCTCAGGAAAAGTGCTCCTGGAATTTTGAGCGATAATTTGGACGGATTTCCCATAGTGCAAAACTGTGATTCTTCTCAATATACCCCTGCGGCACATGCGGCAAAGTTAAGTATCCCTTTGCTTTAACAGAGCCCAGTTGCTAGCAAATTAGTAAATTAGTATTTACTTGTATTTAATTACGCTTTTTGAAACTCACATCGCTCCAAATCGGGTAAAGATCTGCGCGTAACTTGCGGAGGAAAATTAATAAGGTTCGAATTCGAATTTATGTACTTTGAATAATTGTTTTTATATGAAAATACTTAATCAATGACGTGATACTAAATATTAAAATTTTTATGATGATCAATCTCTGATAATTTGTAATTAATAATTTATCGATTTGGTTGGCAGGGAGGGCAGTGACGATAACCACGAAATCACAAGCTGGCCAGGAATATCGAATTACAATTCTACATACATTGTTCTTGCCACAACATTTGTAAATGTTCGACCAACCTGCCCCCCAAGTTTGTCCTAATTTTGCCAGATATTTCTCATAAGTTGGAAACACTCAAGTTCCTGCAGGTCAAGGCGTTCGAACCTTTGCAGGGAATTTGGAGCGCTTATCATTTCCTAAACCTGACTCAGCTTTCAATCATGATCAATGGAAAGGATCTGGATAAAAAGGCAGCATCACCACCACCAACGGAAATTACTGAATTTCAACTCCTCCCAAATCTGAAATTGTTCTCCTGGGAAATTTCGCCTTGCTGTACAGAAGAATTGCCAAGGGCTTTGATGCCAAAAATTTGCCAAAACCTGATCAACGCGGCCCCAACCTGGAAGAAATTAACCTTACTGGAAGCTTCTATTTTGACTTTACGGCATGCGGAAAACTTAAAACGTTGAAGTCCAAACATAGTACTATGAGCAGTTTTAAAGTTCAAGTCTCCGAAATGACTAAAATGCTGGCAAGTTGTCGAAATTCTTTGGATAGTTTGACCTTGCATTGTCTCGATTTACTGAATAACTCCAATCCGATAGAGGCAAAGAGCTTGTATTTTCTTTTTCGTTATATCTTATCCAAATAATTAATTAATTTTGCATTTTACTTACAGCTGAATTTGCACTTCTCGAATCTCACCCATCTCTTCCTTAATGCTGACGACGTGTGTATCATTAAGGACTTGATGAGCGTTACAAATCTCCCAAGATTGACGCATTTATCCATCTCGAACGCCCATACAGATTACGGGTGCGACATTTCTGAAATGCTTCAACACTTCCATTTGCGTCACATTGGGATAACCTCGCTCGATCTGGTTTGCCCCCACTCTCCCAAAAATGGCAGCGAGGATGGAGAAGCTGCCCGAAAACTGGTCAATCTCTTCCCGGCCGTGAGCGAATTGAAATTGAGGTTGACTATTACACGGGTCAATGACCCGCATAAAAATTTTTTGGCTTTGATGGAAACGATGCGAGCTTTTGGTGATTGGGAGTTAACATGTGGGGAGATGGAGTTCAAGATTCCGTCTTGCTGGCGATATTCCTGGACGGATCTCGAGTTTGCTGGGCAACTTGTCGTTGCCGTATTGAGAGGAATGGCGGAATGGAGAGGTTATTTTTTTTGCAGACAAATACTTATCACAATAATTGACATTTAAGAAGCCGCATTAATTTAATTTTAGGATTGACAAACACATCGCTTCAATTTTCGGGTTTACATCATTGCGGAAAATTTAGGCTGTCGGACAAGATGCGATGTGCCCTTTTATCTTGCAGGATGATTCGAAGCGTGACTTTTATTGTATTTTGGGTACATATTCATTTTTAATACTTCAGGGTTAGAAAAGTTTAAAAGAATTTTTTATTTTTTATTTTACTATGCACAGATGGACGAGGAGATAAAGGACAATTTTGAAACGTTTATTCGAGAGCATAATTTGCCAATCAGTGTTAGTGGCAGAGATTAAATACAATTGCGTCAGTGGTTTTTGCGGTTCAATTACTCAGGGTGCAAAAATATCACGTTTCCTCATTATTGCTACTTTTGATTTTTTTATTTGCTAAAATATGTGCTGAACGATTTCTTAATTAATTAATTAGACATATCAAATTGCTTGTGCATTTCCACGGTTTCAAAATTATTAGTTCAAAATTGTAACAAACAAGAACTTCTAAATTTTATCTGACTTCAGATTTTTTCCATCATTCACTGATTTGAGAAACATTCAAGCGTAGAGTTGAAGTATGTAATTTCATTTTTAATTCTCAAATTTCTGTTTTTTTTTTTTGTTTTATTGGAATTCCCTGTCAAAAGTTGTAAACAATGTAAATAAATTTAGCCTGGCGTTTGATATGTTCACAAAAACTTGAAAAATCGGTCATCATTTAGTCATAATTTGTCTAAAAATTGTTACTGTGATATGTAATAAAAATGCGTGAAATGCAATTCAAATTCATGCTTCATAAAATTAAAAATTTTCCTAGAAATTCAAAGCAGGGTAGGATTAGGTTATCTAAACTTCAAGTGATTTAGATTTGTAAGATTTTACCGCTTGTTGGTATGGCTTTACGTTACGATTGGTAAAAATATATTTTTTTTACAAATTGCCTCAAATTGGCAATATTTATCTGGATTTTGGAAACTTGAAGTATGCAAAAGTCCGTCTCAGAATACCCCTCCGGCACTTGCGGCAAACTTAATTCCTTCTTTGCATTTATGACACGCGCTGACGGCTTGCAGTGCATTTGACATTTAATGTTTTCAGTTTGTTTGAACTGAAATTAATTACCAATTTTGAGATTTGCTTTGCTGCTTGCAAAATAAGACGGGTCGAGATCTACTCGTGATTTACGGAGGAAAATTAATAAGGTATGTTTGCGCAATAAAATAATTTATTTCTTCTTAATAAGTAATTGTAATTTATTTCTATATATTCATTGAATATTATTCAACCTTTATTTCTAACTAGTCTCTAAAGCCCGCATGCGGGCTCCAGAATAGAAAGATTTTAATTATTAAGTCAAGCGTTTGCTGAATGACATCCATAAGCAAAGGGAAACAGAACGTGGAATTGCGGCATGTTGTACCATTTTTCAAAAATGCTCAGGCCTTAACTAAATTTGTCTAATTAACGAACTTATGAGAAACTTAACAATAACCCGGAACAAATTGTTACGTATGCGGTAAGGGGCCAATTGACGACTCAAAGGGGTGTGTCCAGGTCACCTTATGACTTTCGCGTGTGTCCCAAGTTACATGAGGACTATAGGTCATTTGCCTTTAATGTGCTACCGCCGCTGGCCTGGCTGCCTCTATTAATAAGTAGTCTGGTCACCCCACATAGTACATAGGTAATTTGCCTACGTCACAGGTTTAGCAACATTTATATGGGCCTAGGTCTCACGTCATGTGACAAATCTATATTAAGGTATCGAGGCCAGAAGTCACCTAGGCAGAGACTGGTCAATCCCGGATTAAGGATTTGGGATTGAGATTAGGATTGGGGATTAATTGACACTCAATCTCAATCCTTAATCCCAAGTTTTAGAATTTTAATCCTTAATCCCTAACCCAATCCCACTATTTCAACTTCAATCCTAAAGTGGGATTAGAATGGGATTAAATTTGCAATGACTGAAAACTCGAAAAGCCAAACTTCTCTTAAGATCGCTCCCTTTTCGAAAATTGATTGAATTTCGTTAATTTTTGTCATATATTTAAAAATACTGCTTAACATTTTGCAAAACCACTCGTAACGTGGTATCCTCAATGGACAATTTGCAACATTAGTGTGACCTCATAAAGAAATGTGATTGATATGCCCCAAATTCTGGTCAAAGCCTTGCGTTAAAAATAGTACCAAGAGTAAAATTAGAATTTTTGCCCGTAAAACAATTTTTGTGCGAAAAATATTTACATAATTGCTAGTTAAAAATTGTATTTCTACGCGATCTAATTTTGCATGGAAAATTTTCAAAACATTACTTGTTCCGAAGTTCAGATTCGTTTAATTAATGTAAAAATCTGGCCTAATGAAATTTAATGCAAACAATTAATCCAGGACTAAATTAATTCCAAATTCAAGAAAATTACCCTAAATTTAATCCCGTGGTAATCGTAATCCAAGATTAAATTCAATCCCTAATCCCAATCCTAAATCCCAATCCTTAATCCCAAAATTTTAAAAATTAATCCTTTGTCCTCAATCTCAATCCCAAGATTTTAAAATGTACTCCTCAATCTCAATCCTTAATCCCGATGTCTTTAATCCGCCAGTCTCTGCCTATACATAGGTATGCTTAGGTCACAGGCCAGGCAATTCTCTAAATAATGTGTAAAGGGTATAGGTTCATAAGCCAACCATAGCGAGTGTCCAGGTTCTGGGTCAACTGTAGACCTTAATGGGCGTGCCTCCCAGGTTCCGGGTCTACTGCGGGAGTATGCACGCGTTACGGTTCAACTGCCGACTATGAGGAGTGTGCACACGTTACGGGTCTACTGCCGACTAAAGGGTAGTTCCCAGGTCACGGATCAAATCTTAGGGGGTATTCAATTTTTTCCATTAGTGGCATATTCGGTTGTCCTGGTGCTAGTCAACGTTTTGGAAACGTTTGGACACTTTCGGTGAAAAGCGCCCTCTAGCGGATAAAATACAACCTAGTACCTATAAATGTGGATAGGTGGCGCTGTGTGGTAATTTTAAGAACTATTGGGGGTAAGGTGATACAGCCATCGAGTGAAGCGCTTGGTTCAAAAGGTAACACACACACACACACACAACTCTGCACAATTCTTGTTATGATGAACAATCTCCTGTAATTAATAATTTCTGGGTGGGCAAGAAAGCAGTCGCGACACTACACCATCATGCAGGCCGAGGTTCACCAAGCGGGCACAGAATTGGAGAATTTTGACCTTGTCACCGACGTCGATGAAGTGGCTTTACTAAACCCCTTGGTATTTAATTAATTACTTGATAATTTCTCCCATTGCATTCACTACAATTTGCAATATTCGCAAAATTAAGTCAACTTCAGACATACATATTTCATTAATTTGTCCAAATATTATTTCAGATCCTGAAAAAAGTCTTCTCCTCCTTGGACACCCCCACTTTAAAGTCAGTCCGCCTCGTCTGTCCCGTTTGGGCCGACGTGGGAGCCAGATTTCTCGGCAAGCAGGGTCGCCTCACCTTTTCGACACCGCACAACCGCATAATTAATAAAGAGTTGACCCCATTCAATCACGACCTGGCCAAGAATATAAAATTACTATTCTACACAACCAGGGCATGTTACTGCAACGCTGTTTGTACATGTTCTCCTTATCTTCCCCCCAATTTCGTCACAATTTTGCCCGAAATTTCAAACAAGTTAGAAACCCTCAAATTCTTCTGCGTCAGGGCGTTTGAACCAGCCCATGAAATTTGGAGCGCTTATCATTTCCCAAATCTGACCCACATCTCGATCACCGCAAACGGAGAAGACATCGATAACAAGGGGCGACCACGGCTCGAGATGACTGAATTTCAACTCCTCCCAAATCTAAAAGTGTTCTCCGTGACAATCACACCCAGCTGTGAGAAAGTCTCGTCAAAGATCTGGATGTCAACCTTTTGTCAAAAGCTGCTCAACTCAGCCCCCAACCTGGAAGAAGTCGACCTTAACACAAGCTTCTATCGGAAGTTTACAGAATGCAGAAAACTCAGAAATTTGAGTTTGAAACTTGATTCTTGGGGTAATTTTCAATTCGAAATATCTCAGATGACGAAAATGCTGGATAGTTGTCGAAATTCTGTGGAAAGTTTGACCTTGGATTATTTGGGTTGGTATAATGGCCCGATAGAGGTAAAATCCTTGCATTTTTATAGTCGTTTTATGCAGGATTAATTAATTTTTGTGTTTTATTTTAAGCTGAATTTCCACTTCCCGAATCTCACCCACTTAAGAATTGATGATGCCGACGTGTATGTCATTAGGAACTCGTTAAACATCACAAATCTCCCAAAATTGACGCATTTCTCCTTATCGAGCCTGGATCCTTCGTTCCAATCCAAGATTTCTGCCTGGCTTGACCACTACAATTTGCGACACAGTGGGATAACGTCGCTCGATATGGTTACCCTCATTATCCCGAAATTGGCAACGAGGATGGGGAAGCTGCCAGAATACTGGTCAATCTCTTCCCGGCCGTGAAGGAATTAAAATTGAAGTTGAAGATTTACCACATCCATGATTACGACCCATATTTTTTGGCTTTGATGGAAACCATGCGAGCTTTTGGTGATTGGGAGTTGACATGCGGACAAGTCGAGTTTGACGGTTTGATCCATGAGGATCGCGACTTTGGTTCGGAACTGGTGATTGCCGTATTACGAGGAATGTCGGGATGGAGAGGTGATCATTTTACAAAAGTAATTATCAGAATTAATAATTAAAGGAATGACACTAATTAAATTTGTAGGTTTAGCCAATACTTCGCTTCAATTTACTGGTCATGACCAGCGTCACGTGGAGTTTAAACTGTTGGATGAAGTGCAGGATGCCCTTCTGTCATGCAGGATGATTCGAAGCTTGACAATTATTGGATTTCAGGTATTTCATGTTTATACTTCGGGTATGGAGAAATGTAAAAATTCGTGAGTTTTAATTTTATTAATTTTCACAGATGGCCGAGGAAACCAAGAACAATTTTGAGACGTTTATTCGAGAACATAACTTGCCAATTAGTGTCACTGATTAAATAATGGCTCCATTCCATTTATGTATTGGGTGATTCAATTACTTGAACTTCAAAAATTTCGTCGTTCCATTTTTATTAGTATTTTTGATGTTTTATGTTAAAATGCGTGCTAAATGTCATTAAGTTTTGGGAGAGTTTGTCACGAAATAGAATATTGAGTTTAGAGACCTTACTGAACCTCTGTTTTCATTCATTTCTGGAGCTTTTTATCTAAAAAATTCTAGAACCTTTTTATGCACATATGCTCAAATTGAACATTGGCGTACTCTGACTAATGGGTGCTAAACTTTTTATGTATTTTTTATTTCATGAAATACTACCCATGTCATAAAGTCTGTGTCATTTTACTACTGCTGCCGACATTATTCATACAAATTATTACTGACCATGATATTTAGTAAGTAGGTTCAGCTACTTTATGCGAAGGCTTTGTCTGTCTGTCTTCGTCTGTGAGCAGGATAACGTGAGAACGGATCGAGATAATCGAAATCGGTTTGCGCCATCATACATATGACCCCAGGGGGAGGATCCTATCAACTTTTGGGCCCAACGGGATCACCTCCTGACGGCAGGGGGTGTAGTCGGGGCAAAATGAGATTTTTACAAAACTTGAATTTATTGATGAAATACAGTGAAATTAAGTGTTCCTGTAATGTCGTGGGAGTGGTTGGGGTAAAGTGAGTCTGAAGCTACTTTCTTATGTGCGTTAACGGCACTTCATTACAAAACAGATTGATGCCAACACGCTGGTTATGCCGAAATTATTGTGATTGTTTGACAGGCAGCGTAGCATTCGCTTATGTAGTAATCATACTGTTACGCTGACAAGACAACAAAATGCAAAATTCGACGACAGATTTCTACCTCTTCATTTTGTAGGAAATAATTGCTGCCAAATATTTAGTGACAATTTGCATACGCAATGTACATACACATATATGTATTTTCGATACATGTTACTTATACCTAAACTTTAACTAGTCTAAACTACAATCCATTCATCTCTAACAACTGTGTTTTCTAAACCAGTTATTTCGATAATTTTCCCACCAGAAGCCCAAATTCTAGGCTATAATTTAGAATTTCGATAGTATTCAGGCTAGGATTGAGTAGCATAAGCCCCGTAATTTTTATCTTACATAGTAAAACTTTCATAAAATATTTGTAAAAAAAGACGGTACCACTAATTTTCATTTCTAAAGCTACAACCCTGAAAAAAATTAAGTAGTACAGTTGCCAGTCAACGACGAACAGAAACGGAACCAGCTTAGCGACACGGCTAATAAATATGTTGCACGATCATATAAAAATTATAAAATGGAGCTTGACCGCGATGTCATATTTGCATTGTTTTCCCATCGAATGGGACAATTTTAACCAACGCGTCGCCAAAATCGAGAAACGAAGCAAGTTGTTTATCGCCAACGCCGTACAAATTCTGCAAATTTTCTACTTCGGGGTGATGACTGTCATCCTGTACAATCAGTACAAAACGGGGTGTGTGTACAAGCTCCTACCAAATACAGTCATGTGGCTCGTTACGATTATGCTGTATCTTTGGGGAATGGGAGCAAGCTTGGCAAGAAAAGCAGGGGCGCTGCTAAATACTACGATCCGATTTGAAGAATGGCTTCAAGGCGAGTTTCACGAGATGGAAATTTTGGCAAAGCAAAATGGCGGGAGATCTATAACCAAGAGGTAAATGGTAAAATGGTTGTGACATAAATAAATTATTAAATAAGGGATCTGATGTCCTGTCTGATTCATATTGACCAAATAAGGGATCCCTAGTTAAATAGAGACTAAATTTAGACTTCTTTAACAAATTCCCAGGAATCACCGTAACAACATTCTCCGCCGAGTGTTACCCTTTACCAATATAATGTCCCCCATTATGGCGATGACGCGTGTTAGACGACTCCTTAAAAACCCTTGTAGTCCGGCCTATTTGGGATATTTGGTCGGATATTGTTCCAGCTGTCAGGAACATCTCGTTCCTGGAGATCATAGGGTTTCGAATCTGGCTAAATTTATTGTGCTGTTTGTGGACGCGTATCATGTCGTGGTGCATATTTCGAAAGCCTATTTCCTCATGTTCAACGTCACGATGGTGGGAACTGGGTGCATGCTGGATTACTTGGATATATTGGGACGGTAATTTTTTTTTAATTTAAAGTAATGTATGCCGGCGTTCCTGAGGTACCGATGAATTAACCCAATTGTACCGGGTGGTAATGATTTCGGGTTGAAAAATATATTTATAGAGTTTGTTATCAAAAACTAGAGCATTCCAAAATCCCCAATTGTTAGCTTGAAATTTGCACTAAAAAGCAACGGACTAATAGGCAAATTAGATCAACATTTTCCGTTGCAACAACAAATTTTTACAGTGCAAAATATTAAGCTTACCTAAAATTCCACTCAGATTTCGAAAATCAGAATAACTTTTCTTGCAAGTTTCTTCTCAACTGAAATTACCAGATATTTTTTAGCTAACTGTACAACGTAATGATATAAATTAAAATATAGCTTTCTAAACCTACAGGATGGGAAGCCCAATCAGTCATGTCAGTCTCAAGACCCGTATAAGGCTATATCGATGCTTGCAAATTCTTGAGAAACAAATGAATCACACCCTATCAACCCGCGTGATCCCTACGATACTCGTTGTTGCCCCCATTATGCAAGTCTTTTGTACCTTCGTGCTCATCAAGCTGTCTCAGTACCTCCCCTCGGAGGGATTTTTGACCTATCCGTACATAATCCTGATCTGTTTCACGGTCTGCATGGTGTTTGAGACATTTGCGGCGCAACTTTTCGTCAAGTCGGGGCAACAGTATTCCGACTGGTTGAAGGAGTCGGGCTTGACGAAGCGGAATCAGAAGAGAATTCGATCTCTGCAACCGATACGGATTAAGGTTGGGAGTAATTTTATCGACCGAGGAACCGCACTGGTAACGCAGGATTTCTGCATTAACCAAACAGTGAGCCTCCTTCTCATCAAGTTTTAAATGTGGATCAACATAAGGACGTTGTTCGTTAATTGATATGTACACATTTTTAAGTATGCATGCAAAATATCTATTACTATACGAGCTTTCTCTTAAGGTAAAGGAATATGAATATTCGACTAATTTGCAATCAGCTTTTTTCAGATATTTATGCAATGTGTGTGATATGATAATTGCAATGGTTTTTGCAATGATTGATTGATGAATTGCAACGATATAATTGCTCCTAAATAAATAAATAACTGCATATATCTTATACTTAAATATTGATAGATGGGCAGTAATCATTACGTGTTTCTTACTTTCTTACGATAATACCTATCCATTACAAAGTTATTATCAAGTCATTGCCAGGACGGAGTATATGTATTTATGTGAAATTTTTCACAACGTAATCTAGGCACAATTTAGTCGATTTTCGCCTAAATTTTAATTCGAATTTCGAACCAAAATCTATTGATACATAGGAAATCTTAAAGCTTGAGCATCTATTTTTGGCTTAAGCATATTTACCTTTTGAGGTGGAACATAAGAATCTCGATGAATATTTAGGCTTCGCCATAAGCATTAATTCTCTATGTGGTGAAAACTACCACTACTTAAAATTACATAAAAACGACCACTCTGTACTCTATATGCCTTGCTTATGTAAAAAAATAAACAAAGTTTGAAGCGGATGTGCAATCATTTTTTCACCCTCGCTTCAAAGTTGTAGATTGATATCGATTATCATCAATTTAAATTAAATGCATACAAAAAGAATGAAAAACAAATTTCTTTCTGCACAATTTATACGAGTATGTATATTTATGTAATTAGGAAATATAAGCATACGTGTAAAATACGTAAAATACGTGTAAAATTGAGTATTCCCACGCAGCGTATTCTTAAATATATTTGTAATTGGCTGGATTACATATCATGCATGAATTGGAGTTTCCGCTATTACAATATTCTCTTTGTTTTTCTAAACAAGTACAGATAATTCACTTTCGTTACCTCATTCAATTTTGGGGTGTTCAGAAAATATGGAGGTACCCTCTTAATTTAACTAGTGAATCATCAGAATAACCCTGTTAATACATATAGATAATCCAAATCCACTATCAGAATATCCAATTCATCATAACCTTAGAACCTGAAGCTGTTTTTTTAGTTTGTAACCTACTTATAGCCTGAATCTGATTGTGTGTGAACATATATTTTAAAATTTCGTGGCCACTACATGCATTCTTATGTAAAGACTATCTATGCAGTAACCGTGCAAACTGATCAATTACATTCCAAACATTCTCTCACATGTTACTGCTGGTTAACAGATACATATGTAAGCTAATCTAGTTTCTACCAGTTTGTGGAACTTAATTTCTCCTCCACGCATTATGCAACCGTTAACAGTATTATTCAAAATTGCGCACATATATGTACTTACGCACGTGTAAACTAAACCACGAAAAACTTTGCATGGGAAAAAGTCTGGAAACTAAAACAGGCATTGCATGCCAAATTTGTAACTTCCTGAATTCCCACAAGTTCATCAGGTTTGTTATGCAAATGAACACTTATATAATATGGTAGGCAACCTGAACTAATTTCATCCTCCAGATACCTTACCCAATTACACGTAAATATTTATGTAACCACAATTTTCTTATGTTCCTTTGAAAAAATAGTACTTAAATATCTGTCTGGAAACGTTACTTTGCCACCACACCAACTCATCTATCTTATCCCCATAAAATTTCTTATACCTGAAAAATGTCCAAATCAATCTACTCTTCGTTTATAGGGTGTTACTACACTTTTTTCATACCCAAAATAGCAGAATCCACCATAAATTTAGCCTCCGTTCTAACACCTCATACCTCTTGTCGCTATAACCTCGTCTTCAACAATCTTTCCACCTCGGACCTCCCAACTACCCGCGATATTCCCGTCACCCTGCACAAACGTTCCTTGTCTGAATCCTTTGGCAAATATTGGTACTCAGCGACTGCAAAATCCGTGAGATCTTTCCAACTCGACATTCTCCAAAATAAAGGGTGGCTCTGTGAAATTGTGATTCTATTCTTCACCTCAAATTTTACGGAATCTGACAAAGCTCAGTTAGGTTATTGGATCACGACACAGGGCAGATATTATTTCAGAGTGAATTACAAAGACAATTTGAACGTTTATCCAGATAATTTTTACTTCCTATTAATTCCGAGTAACCCAGGCATTCTATTGTCGAATCCTACCTTGCCCCTGTACACGCAACCTTACAACAGCGAGAAACAACTACCCGTCAAATTTTCTATCGTCTTATTCCTCCCGGAAGATCGAGTGCTGCTCTGTCACCAAACAAATATCCTGAGTCTCCCAATTTTACAAAGGTTTTCCTGCACTTCTACCCATCTTGATGCACTTAGGCCACTATTCAACCCGTCCAACTACCCGCCATCTTCCGAATTTAATTGGATAGATAGGACCTCCAGCCAAGTTAGAAAGACTATAATATCACAAGCTTTAATCTCCATGGCGTTTGATGAACTAAACGCAACGAGCCGTATAAAAGATTATGATGAATGCCAAATTCCCACCATAACGGAAACTTGTCTCTACCCGGAATTTGATCACGAAGACCTGATCGCTGCCTTGCTCGGGAATCATAATGTGATCACTACTTTTCCCGGGATTTATTTCTTCTCATGTTACGAAGTACAGGGTGGCGTCACATTTTCCCTGTATTTACCCCCCTTCCAACCCATCGTGTGGATTGCCACGGTTATCATGCTTCTCTTATCTACATGCGTCCTATCGCTCGGCTTTTACGCGGTGACCAAAAAAATCTACTTGACTACGATTTTCTTGCATCTTTATGGATCTCTGGTCGACGAGGTGGGCACCGTCCCGGCAAAACTGAGCTCTCTGCTTTCATTCAAATTTTTAAGTATTCCATGGCTTCTTGTCGGAATGTTGCTGAGCAATTGTTACCTGAGTATTTTCATTACAAATTTAAACTCACCGCTTCCCGGGAAACGGTTCGACACGTATCAAAAAATATCTTGTCAGGAGGAACCTAAAATTTACATAAGTGAGGCGAACCTTCTGGATAATTCTGACAGGGGGACGCTGACTCTTGCCCAGAACATTGGAAACTTTACGGAACACCCCACCGTGAAACGTCTAGGCGGATTCTGCTACGCAGTATTGTCTGAATTCGTGCCATTCTATACACAAAAGTTTTACCTGGAGAGTTACAAGTTCTTGAAGCTTTACGTCAGTTTTTTACATGAGACTATCAAATTTCGCACGGGCCAAGAGCGCATTCCGTATGGCTTGTTTAACCCAAGGATTCGTTGGTATCCGGACAAGCTGAGATCTGTGTGGGGTAATGTAACCATGCATACCTGTTCATATTCATTCAGCGAATAAATTATTCATTTTCTCTTCAATAAATTCATATAGATGTAATGGGCGAATAATTTGTTCAAATTTTTTGAATGAATATTAACCGATGTGAATGAATAAATAGTTTTATTAATTATTCATTCTTCACGTTGTGCTTAATACATGCATGGATATTTTGAGAAATCCATCAATTAAAGCGAATTTGAAATACGATAAATAATGAATAAATAATGATTAAATAGTTTTATCAAATTTTGGTTAATGAATAACTTTTAAGCAGAATGAAATTTCAATGAAGAAATATTTTTTGAACAGATATGAATGTAACTATCCCCCAAGTTAACGAGCTTATCGAAGAAGAAATTTTACAGTGTGACCGATCCGCCTATATCGGAGCTTCAAGGGAGATCGATTCCTACTACAATTATCTGAGGAGGCATTATCCAACCAAAAAATGGTATCGGGTCGAGAAAACCATTCTTGAAAGGCCGATCGGTTTCGCCTTCAAGGGTTGGCGGGAATCGAGGATGGTTCTCTGCATCAAATTGTTCTTGGAGGCGGGGATTTATCGCCACTTGTCTGATCTGGTTAACCGCAATACGACCTTCCTTCGCGAAAGGACGGCCAAAGAAAGAGGGGAAAATGAGAAGTTTGTTTATACAACGGACTTTAAAGCGGTCCAGATTGGCGACAGTATTCAGACAGTTTTCATCATGTTAGTCACATGTCTGGCGGGATGTTTTTGTGTGGCGGTTTTTGAATTTGTGAAATACAATTGGATAAAATTGTGACTCGCTACGGTCGTTCCCCCTCCCCCCACCTTTTTGCCCGGTGCCCCGCCCCAAAGGACCCCAGGATCATTACAACTAGGTCCAGTTCTTCTCACTTGTGCATCGGTTTGGGGAAAATGTAACCATTGCTGGACATATTTTTCATAATGTTAACTTCTTCTGTATTTATGTATGTGCAATATACTCCCACACAGTTTGTAAACTAAATAAGTACTCTCCATCAACGCAGGATTGAACTAAAAGCTGAGAATTCTGAGAAACTACGCCACTGTCAGTCTCAAATTCCCTCAAATAATGCTGACGAGGAACTTTGAGACTGACAGTGTCGTTTCTCAGAATTCCCAATTTCTAAAAAGTTCAATCCTGCGTGGATGGAGAGTAGGTATGGATCTGTACAAGTGTGTCACACGTACATAAGCATGTTAGTATGTATGTATGTATTTAGCTTATGTGCTGTATGAAAATATGTATGTACATACATATTTCCTGTACAACCTACCACCTGATCTAAATTCATCCATATTCCTGAAAATTCAACAAAGGTTTTACAAGAAAAACTAAGCCCTTTACCTTATTCTACTTTATCTAAATATAACCACGGAAAGAATGGGTTATAAATAAATGACTGAAAAAACCTGTCCCTCTGTCTTGAAACTGAAACTTTCTTGAGCCAGTTGCCATTGTGTCCCCGTGGATCTATAATCGGCTAGCATTTCTTACAATATTGAACAAATTTGAAGTCCGCAATTTAACTAAAATGGAACCCCCTCGACAGATTGCAGGATCGTTGTCAACTTGCGTTACGGTAACGATACATACCAATTCGTATTATTTCCACTCCTAATTAGATAATTTGAACCTCTTAAATATATCGTTAATTACTTCCCTCAGACAAATGTAGTAACGGAGATATACGAGTGGAACTTGATAATTCCACACGCACTGTGTGTGCCTGACGAGGATCCATTTTTTTCCGTTCGTCTCTTTTGGTCGTCACGATTTTACGACTGGGTCATTCTCCAAATATGAAGACGCTTTTGTGTATGCAAAACAAATTATAGTTTTATGTTTTGCCCTTAAATCTGTAATTTAGAAAGAAAATGTATTCCCCCAGTAACGCACAGATTGAACGACACGGATCCAAGATTTGGGTGACTATTGTTCTACCTCCGTCTTCCGAACGGGGTCCAGTATTTCGGATAAAGCCAATGAAGCTTTATTTTATGGAAATGGGAAAAGTCCTCAGTGTTTTGAAGCATGAGTTCACCAACTCGGACAAATTGGGGTGTACAGGTTTCGCCGATCATATTAATATGTCTGATCATTATGTTCCCACCGTGGATAAAATTCGGCTCCGATTTTTCATCGATGTTCAAAAAGGTGAGAAAATTCAGGGCACAATTACGAATTATTTTTACCATTTAAAAATTGAATATACATTTATTAATAATTATGTATAGCATATGAAGTGGCAGACGTGGATAGATCATCGCATTCTGATTCGCTGCATTCCGCGGACGCAAAGCATCCTTTGACCGACTTAAAAACATCACTGGGAAAATTTATCAATTCTGCAAAAATGTCGGATGTTGTGATTTGCTGTGAAGATCGGGAATTTTTAGCAAATCGATTGGTTCTTTCAGGTAGGCTGTGTTGATTATTACAATTTCAATCTAATACATCCCTCGATTTTATTTTTTTCTGTTTTATCCCTTAACTAAATCGTTCAATTTAAAATTACTCAGCGTACTTAACGCCAACTTTAGCATATCTCGTAAATTGAGCTGAGCAACACATTTAAAGTGCGAAGTTTTGCAAGTTTTGCAAGATTTAACAAAAATTTTGCTGGAAAATTATTGATTTTTTTCTCAAATTTACCCAGTAATTGGAAATGTTCTTACAATGCAAGTCTTGTACGTGTACAACTCAGATCTGGTTGGGACCAATTTTATTTTGTTCGCCACAAAAAATAAGCATATCCGTATTTTTTCATTTTTCATAATGCGCTAATTTGAACGCGAGGCGCGAATTTTTAATCATTTTTCAGCCAAAACCTCGGTTTTTAAAAATTCTGTAAATTTTCAAATTTTAGCGCGAATCCACAAATTCAAAAAACATGTCTCTTCAGAATGACTTACTTGACTTATGAAAAATCCACATGCATTATTTTTTGAAAAATTAGAAATTTGAAAGATTTTATACATAATTTTAATAAATTTCAGAAACTGGCAAAAAATTTTGAAATTCAAATTTCGAAATAATTGGATTTTTCATAAGTCAAGTAAGTTATTCTGAAGAAACATGTTTTCGAATTTTTAGATTCGCGCTAAAATTTGAAAATTTACAGAATTTTTAAAAACCGAGATTTTGGCTGAAAAATGTTTTAAAATTCGCGCCTCGCGCTCAAATTAGAGCATTATGAAAAATGAAAAAATACGGGTATGCTTATCTTTTGTGGTGAACAAAATAAAATTGGTCCCAACCAGATCTGAGTTGTACACGTAAAAGACCTGCATTGTTAGTTCGAAAAATTATTTTGTAAACTAGCTATCATCAGCAAGACAAATTACAAATCTACATTTAAACAATAACAAAAGTTGTGTTTTACTAGATTTGCAAAGTCATATTTTGCAAATCCCCTCACTCCAGAACTATTTTCATCTTCGCAAGTTTGCAAAGTAAATTAGTTGCGATGCGAAATAATACGTTGTACGCTCAATAACCAAATTTTTTCCTACTCTTGTAACCAGTGACGAGCAGGCCCCGATTTAGGGGCGGGCAACCCGGGCAGTTGCCCGGGGCGCCCGATCCTGGAGGGGCGCCTCCTGGTGCCCCGGTTTACACTAGATATAACATAATTTTTCAGTAGTAAGATTTTAAAATCTTTGTCTTGATTTTTTTATTTTAATTAAGTTGGGACAACTCATCGCGAGTATCCCAATTCTTTAGGTGTTTCTGATTCCTTAAGGTGCGTTTATGCTTCACGTTATCGTTATGTCCTCCTCCAAATCCGATTTTTTGATTGGCTGAGCGAAATTGTCACTACGACAATTAAAAATTTTAACCAATCAAAAAATCGGATTTGGAGGAGGACGTGACAGTAACGTGAAACATAAACACCACTTTAGGATATTAGCTTTTAAAATCTGTTCCGGCTTTTTCAATGTGTTCACATCGGGGAAAGTTTGGGGCAATTTCATCTCGGCAAAACAATCAAAATTTTTTGGCAATTTTTAGGAATTTTGACTTCTTGACAGCGAGTAACGCGCAGCCAAAAAATTATTTTCTGCATAAGATGATGACCAATGACCATGGATTCCAAAATTCATTTGATCCAGTTTTTTGCGTACGTATTTTGGTCACTGGGGTCATTTATAGTGAAGAATTTAGGGTCATTTCTTTTCTGACAAATCGCCGATTTTTTTGGTAAACTTGATTGTCACTTTTAATTTGAAGCCATATCAGACTTCCTGACCCTTGACTGAAAAGATAACCGGCCATTTGAAAATTCGCTAATTTCCATTCTGGTCATCCACATGAGTTTCGTTTCGAGCATATTTTTTGAAAAATTTTATGCAAAGTGACCAGTTTGAATTAGACCTAAAAAGATTACGGGCGTTATTTAAAGTAATACGTGCGTGCGGAGCCACACGGCGTTTTTCGACCAGTCTCTTCCGCTAGGCGCACTTCCCTATTTTGTAACTAACTAAATTATAGTTCATATGCAAAGACAAAACGAAAAGAATCAAACTATGTATTCCCATTTCGTGATTAAATTATATGCACGTAGGTATTATACGTAGCAAGGAAAGGTTTATTCAACTCCTTGCTGCCACTTAACTTTATTTCAACAAATTGTCAAGGTAGAAACTATTAAAATATGAGTACATTCAAAGCGCTAAGCCCGTATAGTTCCGATTCGGAGACATCCTACAGATGTCAAAATGTCATCCGAGTCATACCACTTGGTTGCTTTCTCTATGTACTATTTAATTGTCCAATATTTAAAAAAACAGTCTATTCGTAAGCATTTAATCGGAATATGTAGCACACATATGTATGCAGAGATTTTAATATCTCGGATACATGCAAAAATGTACCCCTTGGGTCAAAACGTGAATCAGGGCGCCCAAAGAAATGCAAGCCCTTGTTGTGATATTTCAATCGAGATGTAATTGCCTTAAAAATGATGTAAATACATGATTTTGAACTAACAGGATTTTAGGGTCAAGATTCAGTTATTAGCTATTTTATCGAGCTGATGGGGAAGGCCATTCAGTCCACCGTAGGGTTTAGTTTTTAGGGTATCCCATTCAGTCACTTAGGAGGGGAGCTTGCGAGGTTGATAATAACAGATCTTGGTGCCCTTTGGATATGTGGTAGGGACCCATGAGTGTACTAAAACCCTGAAGTAGTTTGACTCCATGGCCACATTTGCGCCCGCCACACCCACTCAAAAATGCCCAAAAAACGCTTTCACTCGAGTTTTCACTCACTCAAATCCACGTCAAAAATCCAATTTTACTCGGATTTTGAAATTTCTTTCACCATTATACTCCCAGATAGTTGCTTTCTTCAATCCAATATCAAACTCAATTTTATTGATGATTATTTCGCAAACATAATTTGTTTTGTTGATGACTACAACAATGCTCATTCAGAATTTTAAATTTTAAAAATACTAAAAATTTCGAAAAAATTGAGTTTGATATTGGATTGAAGAAAGCAACTATCTGGGAGTATAATGGTGAAAGAAATTTCAAAATCCGAGTAAAATTGGATTTTTGACGTGGATTTGAGTGAGTGAAAACTCGAGTGAAAGCGTTTTTTGGGCATTTTTGAGTGGGTGTGGCGGGCGCAAATGTGGCCATGGAGTCAAACTACTTCAGGGTTTTAGTACACTCATGGGTCCCTACCACATATCCAAAGGGCACCAAGATCTGTTATTATCAACCTCGCAAGCTCCCCTCCTTAGGGTCGCCATTAAATGCGACCCAATTTATTATGGATATACATATTTATTTCTCCGTTTCTCCCAAGAATTATGTAGAGGAGGTAATGTTTTTAAAGTAGCTCGACTTTTTCCTAAATCTTTTTCCTGCATGATGGTTTTTAAGATTAGGGATTTTAAATGTATGACACCATGATGAATTTTTCGACATATTTAGTTTCCAAAATATAATTTTGGAAAAACGGTGAAAATTAGACAAAATCCGGTTTTCATATGTAAAAGGGTCTGATTTTGAATCCCCTAAAACATTACTACTTGGACATAGCTTAAAAATAATCGTCCAGGTCAAAAACTGTGACCCCTGACGTGACATTTTACAATTCTCAAAAACGAGAATGTCATAAAACCACAATCTTCCAAGGCAATTGCCTTGCAAATTTCCAAGCAGATTTTCTATCGCACAATTTATTCTGCTACCCAACGTATAGGAAGCGATTATTAATTAACCCTGATAGACTTTATTTATATATTTATAAAGATAATACACAGTGACATAGATAAGGGTATATATGTACGAATTTGGTTGAGTAAAAAATCGTACCGCGAGCGCCGAAGGCGCGAGATGCTTGGGGCGCCTTAATTGTTTGCCCAGGTAAGATTTTTGGCAAGATCGGGGCCTGATGACGAGTCCCGTTTTTGAGAAGATGTTTGCCTCTGAGACGAAGGAAAACGTGGAGCGACGCGTAGTGGTCAAAGACGTTGAGAAAGGGGTCATGGAATTAATGTTGGGATACATGTATTGCGGTGAGGTGACCGTCCTCCCTGACCTGCTAAATCTTATCGACCTTTACAAAGCTGCCCACAAATACTGTATGGTCCCTTTAAGAATTTGGTGTGCTTATCAACTGGCTGAGAACTACTTAAACTGCGATAATGTCTTGGAACTTTGGTCCTTAGCTAAGACTTATGAAGAGACCGGTTTGATGGAGGAGACTAAGCGCTTCATGAAAGCGTAAGAGCTCTTATGAGGGGCCATTCATAAATTACGTAATGCAAAAATCACGATTTTCTAGACCCCTGTCCCCCCTTTAGCATGTTTAACCGAGACACTATACATTTAGTTGGACTTCCCCACCCCCTTCTCGCCTTACGTAATCTAAGGACGGTCCCTATTGATGGAGGGATTGCATTGTCATTATTTGATGGAGAAAATGATGTTTTTTTAATTTCAGAGGGAAAAGACAAGTTTTCCAGGATCTGGAGCTTTACCTGGAATTTAATAAAATTTTCCCGGACTTGATGCATGAGTTATTTTTGCAATGATCCCGTAGCGCTTATTTTGTGATGCATCACAAAATTAGCTCGGAAAACTACTCCGATTAGCGTGTACAAGTATTTACAATTCGGATGTGGTATTGTATAGACTAGTTTTACTTGTTTATGAAGGTGTGAAGACAGATGTTGGACTGCAACATGTCTCTTAGAATTTGGCTAAAGTTTTAATAATTTAAATGTGTCGAATAAAAGCAAAGTCCATGTATGTATGTATGCAATCAAATTTTATTCATTTAACTATATAATTTTGTAAAGAAACTGAATTCCCTCTTTTTGCCAAAAATTTTAAGCAACTTAAGGTTTAACGTCTTCCTTCTTGGCAGGTCCTTTATCCCCCTTGCCGCCCCCCTTTCCGCCGGACCCCTTGCCCTTCCCCATATCACCATCCATCTTTTCTGCCATCATAGTTTCCACTATTTCGTCCGAATCTCCCCCATCGACTAAAAATAATATTAGCAAAATTATATACTCAAATATCTTCAATGTCATACAAACACTGTTGGAAATCTGGTAAAGTCAGGAAGGTATTGATCTATCGGGGTTAAAGTTGCTACCATTTGGTTTTAAAATTATACCGGTCCGTAAAAATTTGTTGGCGATTTGATAAAACTTTTTGAACACCGGGTCATTACAATACTATACCGGATTACTTATTGATGTCATGCAAGAATACCGCTTAGTATTGTTTTTATACTGAATTTCTATTAGTGTAGCAACTCATTTAGCAAATATGCATGTAAACACTTTAAAGGACAAATTTTGTAAAAAATATTGTCAATTTTTGGGGAAAACAAATTTTGGGAAAAAGATTTTCGAAATATTTCTAAGTATGGAAAAGTTGATGTGAATACGCCTAAAAGATATGTCTCACTTACTTCCCACAGCAACATGTTCCTCGGGGAAAGCCTATGAAAATATTTTATTTTAGATTTTCAATTTCAAAAAAATTGTGTAAAACCATTAATATCGGGTTCAAATTTTTGTGAGTCCAACCTGTGCAATGGCTACGAAAGCCAGGACTGCGATAATGATAAAGGCTGCCTTCATTATTTCCTGCGAGTAAAATAATTTGGTTTTTTGTGAAGTTTTAAGAAATTGAGGAATAATGAATTAATGATGACTTTGTGGTGTTCCAGTTGGTATTTATACGCACCATGGCGTGACGAAATGTGACATTAGGTCGACAATCCGCTACTCAAAATGTCATCATGCATTTACTAATTGCATTCAAGTTTGACACATTTCACAGTGTATTCAAAAAACTTATATAAGTTTTATCAATTAAATCACCAATTAAATTTTTGGGAAGGAAATGTACCTAGTGGGGTACGAAATTCTTTGATAAACGTTTTTTACTGCAGAAAAATAACGGGTAAGAATTTGTAATCAAAATTTTCCATATGGATGCATAATATACCTGTGTATAATATAAAAATACTACCTTTCCAAATTTCCTCTCCTGGAGTACACACGCTTGAGAATTCTGATGGACGGCCGGTCGCTTGGAGCACGCGCGGTTTCTACCGGAAAATGGTCACAAGCGTTGAGAAACAAAATTTAAGAACTTCTGAACCAGTGGAAGTTTTTGAGCAGGCCATGGTCTCAATTTTAAGCCCCAAGTCATAATCTAGATGATTAAGGTCTGCTATTACCGATGGCATTTTTGTGACCAAATTAAATCGATGAAATGAGCTCATAGTCAATTTTGGACAATTTTTGCACCATATGGCTGAGCCGTGACCTTTTAAGAAATTCAGTTTCTATTTTTCAATAGGCCGGACTTCAAAGGTTTTACACTAAGTTTTGCAACTTTGGTAATGTAATTCGTGGCTTGCGCTGTAACCCTTTCTAGAGAAAAACAGGGTATCGCTTTTTCCAGCAGATTAATTCAATCCAAACCATCAAAGACTTCGGGGGATGAGATCTCCGACGTTTTCTATTTGCCAGGGGTATGTATGATTTTTGCTTAGCGCAAATTCTTTCATTTTCATTGTTAAATTTACGCAAAGCTTGGGATAAGTTTCCACAGGAAAGTGTGCGTAATCCGAGCGGTCAGTTTACCATCAGATTTTTTAAGCGTGTGTACTCCAGGAGAGGAAATTTGGAAACTTAGTATTTTTATATTATACACAGGTATATTATGCATCCATGTGGAAAATTTTAATTAAAAATTCTTACCCGTTATTTTTCTGCAGTAAAAAACGTTTATCAAAGAATTTCGTACCTGACTAGGTATAGATGAATACATACGCGTAGCATTGTCGCTATTCAACTTTGAATTTTCGTATAACGAGCAAAATACAAAGAAAACTTACTTAATTCGGATAGGCTAATTATGATGATGCAAGTGATCTGATCTCATTAAGCCAGGTTATGTGTAAGCAATCAGCTTAATTCGCATGTGGCTGGTCAGATACATGTATGTACATACATCAACGTATTTAAAAAACCGTAAATTTTCCATGAAAATCTTATGTATATTGCATGCGGGTTGTAAAAGTTGTTGTATTTCATGTCTTGAAAAATCTCATTTTTTTTTACTTGTCAAATCCCCAGACAAAACCCCAGACAAAAATTATTACACATCAACATTGTACATAATTATACATCAGCTTAATTACGAGTTTGAACATATAGGTATGTGTAGTCCTAGAAAGTAACGTGAGAAATATCTAGTTCATTACTTGGATAAATATGTATGAAACGTGGCACTTTTTCATAAAAAGCATGGCAATACAAAACATGTCATGGTTTGTACAGATAATTGATAAGATCACATTAAAGCAAAAAATGCAAATTGCATATATTTTGAAGTGTGTACAAATTTGAATATATATGCATATCTAGTTTTCAGTAGTTGGTAGTTAATGTTCCCACCAGTTTGTCCATACCATTTATCTTAATATCACGAAACTTCACATGATATTATTTTTTTAACGTCTGAAATTTACTTAAATACTGTCCAGGCAATGGTATAAGAGTGTGCATACTTACATTAATTACAATTTTCTTATCTGATGATTTTCCTGTCTTATTAAGTAAGTTGAAGGTTAGGCCAACCACACACGAAAACGAGTTTCTCTGTACAATATCAAAAATGAAGATGTGTAATACACAATTATTTGCGAGATTGCATTTATTAAACAGGTTACAGAAGTCCATGCACGCGGATTAAGCCTGTTTCCTAGCCTTGTTTTCCTGCTCAAGGTACAATGTTGCGTCATAACAATAGTTATGATGGATATGTCGTGAATAATTATTTGCATATTCATCAGTACACCGGTGTTGTATGTACTTTGCACAAGTTCGCTTTTTGTGTTTTGCGTAGTTTGGTTTTTGGAAAATTTGATAAAATGTGGAAAAATTTGTGTTACAAGTTTTCATTAATTTCGCTGCTACTTTGTGTCCCGAGTTCAATGCAAATTTCTCTGGATGAATTTTTAACTTTGACACGTAGTCAGAAAGTAGCATTAGATGAGGTATGTATGTTCTTAATTTGAAATCGCGTAACTTATTGATTGAAAATACTTAAATGTGACCAAATAAATAAGATAAACTGTGAAAAGTTTTGCAATCGTTATTTGAGCAACAAGTGAATTTTAATTTTGTGAATTTGTAGTTTCGAAGTGCAGTAAGTTCCAAACTTCCACACCAATATATGAGGGAAGATGTCTATTTAATACGATGGTTGAGAGGTAAGCTTATTAATTTTTTGGAAGTTATTCGTAAACTTACTCGTAATTGTGTGAACATGATGATTTTAGAGTACATATGTACATAAAATAGGATGCATATGTAGTTACATATGTGCAAACATTTGCTTACATATACGTAGATATGCTTTTGTAATACGTGCAAAGGCTCACGCACATTTCTCTTGACATTTGCGACATTTTTTTTCTTGATGCTTATTTACGATTTTGTCTAAACTCCTAATTAGTGTGTCTACTTAATTGCTCGTAATTTGAAGTTTGTTGATAAAATTCGATAAATGAAAATCAAACTTGGTTACGGTTTAGTCAAATTGACAAAGATGGATTTCATAACAAACCAAACTAAAATACAAATAGCACCAGATTCCAGACGTTTACATAGGTACAAGAACCCTCTAAATTTGTACTACTTGTCTTCTTTGATGGGATGAGGAAACTGAGATTCCAATTGACTCTAAGTGAATATTTGGTCTAAAAGAACTCAAGGCAAACTATATTTGAAAAGTCACAACATGTATGTATAAGTTCTCTCATGAAAATATAATCCAACCACTTATTGAAGATCCCTCGTATTTAGCCTACTAATTTTATAATGGTTTAGTATACGTATATTTATATCTTAAATTTAACACGCTCCTTATATCATTACAGAACAAAACTTTAACGTCTCCGGGGCAACAAATCGCATTTTAAAGGTACTTCCATCAATTATGAATATTACATACTTAAATGCCTTTATAATAATAAAATTCAATAATTTCTCTTAAAGGATATCCAGTGGAGAGAAGACAACGATATCGACAATATTCTAAAGGAAGACTGGGCCGATTTTGACCGCGAGTTCCGAGTTCACATTGAAGGCTGTGATAAATCAGGGCGACCCATTCTCTCAATTCCGGTCGGAGATTGGGACCTGCGCCGAGCCGTCGTCGCCGGCCAATCGAATCGTCTCATGAGATATTTTAGCAAACTGTTCGAAGAGGGATTCACAATGGCGAGAAAGTTTCAAGAAAATGGACAAAATGCGACGCAAGGAACGATAATTTTCGACATGGGAAATTTTAACCTAATTCAGCAAGGATGTTTGCGATGTAAGATATGTAGCACCGAAAAATTTATAATGCGAAAAATATGCGAATTGTATGCGAATTTAAAACTTATTTTTTTTGAATCAGGTATCCCCATATTTTTCCACATTTTGTCCGTTTATGAGCAACACTACCCATACTTTGCACATTGGGTTGTCTCTGTAAACAGTATGTGCCAAATTATTGCAATTTTATAGCAGGCTATGATCTACATCAATGTGAAATACTTGCAGCTCCCGAATTTGCACTCCCAATTTACGACATCTTCAAAGGCATCTTATCCAAGCATGTTAACGAAGTGCTGCACATTTTTGGCAGGAACAAGAGAAAGTGGCAAAACTTTTTACTTGAGGAAATTGACGAGTCTCAGCTTACGAAAAATTTGGGTGGAACAAACTTTGAAGCTCTGGATTACGCAGATTTTAGAGGAATGGATGTTTCTTCGTATACTTGTGCGGATATGGAGCTCCTTCGTCATCATTAATGTTATTTTGAACTGTGACGTTTTATAACATCATGCTGCTCTTTATGCAAAAATAATTAAGATATCACTTTGATTGTAATTAGCCATATTTTTTAACTGATTACTAATGCGTTAAACGACAATTCATAATTGCTATGCACAGTACGGTCTAAAACCAATTTAGTCTTTGGTATCATGATTATATCGCATCTACATAACTCACGTAATTTGATAAATCCCATGTTAACAAATCGCTAGGGAAATCCTAACTTAACAGAACAACAAGACTAATTGCCTAATTTGTACTAATGCTTTAACATTTGCATAAATTTGAAGTCATTTCCCACTCCGGAAATAATCTATATTTATCCCTAAAGTTCAATATAAAAAGGGAATAAACTTTGCTATGACAATCATTCCAGTTTAAACCATTGCTAAAATATCATCAGCATTTCAACTCCCATATTTTCCTCAAGTGGGAATAAAACTGGGAAAATGAAGGCTATTTTTCTTGGCGTTGTCTTGATCGTCGCCATCGCCTGCGTTTCTGCTGGACCAGAACGTGAAGAACTTTCTGCTACGAATGACCAAGGAGTAGATTTTTCCGCACATACAAGAGTAAGTTTTGTTATATTTTTTGTATGGCGATATTTTGCACTAACAAGTATTGTAATATTGTAACAAGTATTGTAACACATATTGTAGCAAATATTGTAAGTTAAATAATTAACATCACACCCAATTAATCACAATTGATTAATTATATTTATTAGGTGCGACGATTTGCAGGGCGTCAGGGTGCTCCGTCACGTGCAAACGCCTTCAACCCATCAGACGATGACGATTGTGACGAAGGTTACGATGACTGTGAGGATGATATGAGGATGATATGAGGATGTATATGACGTACTTATTGGTGATATGGCAAATGAGTTGGAAATTTTCTGGTAACATTTTCTGAAAATTAGCCTTTCCGAATTCTGAATTTTAAAATCACTTATTGATTATTTTTGGCATGTTTTTTTTCCTTCCGATAGTATTTTTTTCTGCTCAATTAAGTACATACAAGAGATATCGAAAAAATAATAAAATTTCAAACTATGGAACCTACAAAACTAAAATTTATGATATTCTATAGTTTGATTGCCCACTCGCAGTTCATTTCTTCCGATACACCGTGTCCGCTAAACATAATTCGTACACAAGTTAATTCACAGAGTTGGATATTAAGCTAAGCAGGAGGAATTCACCTACATATAAGAGCAATGTGTACAAAAAGGCAGGCTTTTTGGTATTTCTTCATGCCTTTTTGGATTTTTGCCTTTTTAGATCATCTTTTGCATACTTGATACATTTTTGTAGGGGGGGGGGGGGGGTAGAAAATTAATCGGCCTCGCCTTCAAGGAGAATCATCTTGCCCCACTTTTCTTCTTGGAGTGAAGGATCAACTCATATGTATCTCATCCTCAGATTTCATAGCTTAGAAATGCACGGTCAAGGCCGAGTCGATAAGATCGTCTGATGTGATCAAAAACCGCGAAACAGACCAGACCGGTAAAATTTAGCCAAGGTTTTTTATGTAGATTTAGGCCTTCAAAACGGAAACGTGTACTTCTGTTTGCATTTATTTAGTCACTGGGCAATGAATCAAAGTTCATTTTGATGGCGCTGATAGTAAGTTTTGGAGAACATGCAGTGGTAGAATTCACCCACAAGGGAGTGGTGCTGAAATTTTGGTAATGACCACCGGTTTTGGGACTAAGAAGGACTTCTGCTGTTCGACGTTGCAACTCCGAAAACAGCCATACCTGGTGCTTATTACATGTCCTTTAATTTACACTATGACCATGTTGTAAAAAAAGTAGCAAGTAATCTCAAATTTATGTACGGTATAAGACGCAACCTTAATGACCATGTGATGAGAATAATGCTAAACGCGTATGTACACTCAGCAATAGACTATGCATTAGAAATCTGGGCAGTCCAACCACAACAGAAATTGAAATCACTGCAAAACAAAATCGACAGATTCCTAATTGGTTATTTCTATCCGATAATTGTAAGGAAAAGTAAGAAAAAAGGAAGAATTAAACTAAATAATATTGATGCGAATGTAATCAGAGCGAAATGCAAATTCCTGACTGTCTCTGAAAGACGCGACTTTGTTACATTAAAGGGTGCATATAAAGACTACAAAATAAACAAGCTATCTTTATCACAAAGAACAATAACAAATTGTAAACCCTTAATAGCCAGCCATAATGTAAAAGCTGAAATTTACAAGAAATCAATAGATCATAGAACCAAAATATTATGGAATGATCTACCGAGATCACTCAATATCTCCGAAATGAACTTCACTACTTTTAAAGAAGAAATAATGGAAATCATTGTACAGAAAAGAACTGAAGAATTTTTATACTATAGTGTTTTATTATTAATTTTCAAAATGTATGTTCCACACTGTTTCTGACCAAACTTTTGATGAAATAACAAACTTCAAATACTTTTAGAATGCTGTGATTTTTTTCAGTTCTGTAGGTTAACATTAACACTAGCAATAACTCACTAAAATTTACCTCGAAAATATGCCAAAATTTACGACTTGATTTCATTATCATCCGAAAACCGTTTTCCCCTGATGTTTTTCTTTAAGTTTCGAAACGAATAATAATCACTAAGGGACAAGTCTGGACTGCACGGGGCGTGGTTTGTGCAGGTAAAGCGATTTTCGTCTGCACTAACCCTCCCAAAAAGCCAGGTATGAGGTGGCGCGTTGTCGTCTAAAAAAGGCCAACTCTTTATTTTGACCCCACGTTTCTTTTCAACCGGAGCACGCAGCTCCTTCGGGGTTCCTGCATACACGGCCCCATTTATTGTAGTATTTACAGCAATAAATTTTATAAGGAGGGGACCTTTGGTATCCTTGAAAGTGGTCATCATCAATTTTTTTGTTAGATTTTTGCACTTTTCAATTCACGGGCGGTGGCAACCCCTCGTGCTTCCAATGAGGGAATTATTATTTGGTCACCGGGTCATAATAGTAAACTCAGGTACCATATTTAGCTAATAAAATATTGAGCAGGTTCAAGTCTTCATTTAATAGGTTAAAATTGGCATTGCAAAAGTCGACTCGATCTTGTTTTTGAGATGCTGAAAGCAATTTTGGTACCCAACGGGCGGAAACCATTTTCATACCTAAGTCTTCAGTTAACATGGAACAAATTGCTGGTTTTGAAACACCCATCTCATCTGCTATATAGGACAGTTTCAATCGCAGATCTCTCATTATTTGTTCCTCTAGTTTCCGGAGCCTTTCTGTGGAAGAAACGGATTTTGAGCGTCCTGGCGACTTTTTGCCCGAGACCTCGTTTCGCCATCATTTAAAATTATTGACCCAATTGAATTTGTGTTTTGTGTTGGGCAGTCTTCATCGTAAATTTTAAGGATTCAACCATAAATCTGCGACACGTATTGCCGATCCAGCATTAAAAATTAAATCACACTACGATATTTAATTTGCAAATCTAGCAATTTTTCCGTCGAGGTTAAGTTTGCCGATTTATTGCTAGTGTTTATGTTAACCCACAGAGCTGAAAAAAATCACAGCCTCCTAAATGTATTTGAAGTTTGTTATTTCATCAAAATTTTGGTCAGAAACAGTGCGGAACATACCTTTTGAAAATTAATAATAAAACACCTACGTATATTTAATGTTTCTAGAATTATACCAATATTACAGGGTTCTGAGTTTCATCGATATTTGAAATTACTTGAATAAATACTTTTTCCTTGATATTTTCATGGTTGTTTTTTCATCGTCATCAGTGTAATTAATCGAATTGTATGCAATGATAACTATCACTTTAGTTCACAAAATTCTGCAGTGCAGAAAGGTCGATTTTCCTGTTCATAATTTTTAGGCCCCTTGGACCATTTTATTCGTTTGCAAATTTTGGTGCCGAACTTCCAGCTTTCTGATTAATGTACGTACGTATGTACATAGGTTTAGAATCGCAAGTAATTTGCATTATGAAAAGTTATCTGGCACACTTATCGCATGACACAGGTCTGCAATATGCATACTACCATTTCATCAATTTTTCCTCTAACTAATTTATCTATACTAGCGGAGAAATGGATCCAACCATTTTTCTTGAAATATATGTAAATATATTTGTATGTAGGTTTTATGAATACACGTTTGACCAAGTAAAGCAAGCGTGCCCAGTAACACAATGCTAAATAAGTACATACTTATAAATATCGTGCATACCCATTTTGCATATCAAGTTGTATTGTGTCAAGTTTGGCATGAAAGCTTATCATTCATTTATTACCATTATCTGTAACTTTCCACACAGATTAAAAATAACCACTTAGCAAGATTACGATTAAATGAAGTTTAAAGTTCAATCCATCTCAAGTCCGTTCAAGCACTGCATTCCATTCACTCGCAATAAAACCTGTCTCTAGTTTAAATACTATTGCATACATAATTTTTATTATTTATTTACATATTTCAAGTAAATCTTTAAACATGAAACTCGGGGCCTTCGTCCTTCAAGCCATTCCTCTCATAATGAGTTATTACGTCAAGAAATACATGGATGACGACAAGGCCGTTGCACTCGTGGATTTAGAGAGTGATTTCGGAATACCACGAATCGCCAGTTTCGACTTTATCGTTGGTGAGAATAATAACGAAATTGTTTCTAATTAATTACGAAAAGTAAATTAATTCCTCTCATAAATAGTCGGCGGCGGTTCGGCGGGATGCGTCGTGGCGGGAAGATTATCTGAAAAATTTAACGTTCTCTTATTGGAGGCGGGTGGGACGCCAGTTCCTCAAAGTTTGGTTCCCTTGTTTACCCGCCAACTTTGGGGCGTTCCCGACATCCATTTCAACCATAAAACTGTCCCGCAGAGAAATCTTTCTTTAGGAAATGGTGGGGTAAGTGAAATTCATAAAATTTCAATAATACACTTTTAGAAATCCAGTATTAATCAATCAGGCGGTACATATTCATACATATGTTACTCTATCAAAGTTGAGTGGAGAAGTAATATGGTGTGGTAATAGCTGGGTTTTAAAGTTTTACCATTTCGGTAGAGCATTTTTATAATTTCAATACCAAGTGGGAGAAAGTTTAATACTGAGAAATCAATACCTGGCTGATATCATATTTCTTACTTGCACCTCAAAATAATGGTTTCACCACTTTCTTGCAGATTGTGTCTGTCTCGACTGGAAAAATGCTGGGTGGGAGTGGCTCTCACAACGATATGGTTCACCAACGCGCCAGTCCCCTCAGCTGGGATGCGATCGCCGCTAGAATAGGCGACGTTTCATGGTCATATCAAAATTTGTTGGGTTTATTCAAAAAGTCGGAGGATTTTATTGGCCAACTTATCAATCCAGACGAGTCAGGTATTATCTTAATGGAGAACAAGTAGATAATCTAATCTAATCTGTCGGGATTAACTGACTGCTTTACGTAGATTACTATGGGACCGGTGGTCCACTCACCATTGATACCCAATTTTCCGAAATATTTCCAAAGTGGGCGGAAGCCGGTGTCCAACTCGGGTATCCGACCGCGGACCCGAACGCCTTTCAAATACCGAGTACGTGCTTATTCAAATTTTAAGTCAATGGACAATTATTTTGTATTTATTTTGATTGATCGATAATATACAATTCAGGTTTTGCCCCTATTCATAAATCAATGGTGAATGGGAAACGTGTCAGCTCGTATACTGGTTATATTTCTCCCTATGAAGGAACCAGGACTAATCTTACCGTGATCCGATATGCTACAGTGAACAAGGTAAGGCAAATAAAGCCATACTAATTACTGAGCAACAATTCGCCAATTTTGTATACAAAAATAATTACAGTATATCTGTTGCATATTTTTTGCATCAAAATATTTAATATATCTTGATTGATCAATTTACCATGAAATAAATTTTAATGAAATTTTTGATTCGTCAGTGCATAAAATATTAACCGGTATTTCAGGTACTCTTAACCGAAGGTACAAATCAAGCCTACGGAGTGACATACACGCGTCACGGGATACCCCAAATTGCTCACGCTTCCAAAGAAGTAATCCTAAGTGCAGGAACTATCAATTCACCCTTAATCTTGATGCTGTCCGGTATCGGACCAAAAGAAACTTTGGACGCGGCAAAGGTACAACTTGTGGATTTTTATATGCAAACTTTATACTTATTAGTTAATTAAGGTGAGATTCGTAAGTAGTGACACAATAAAAAACAAGGTACCATGATTACAAGGGGACGTCCAAATTTACATTACGTCATCAAAAAGCACCCTTTTGCCAATCAACGATGCTCTCCTCCTATGTACTTATGATAAGCTTGACACGAATGAGAGGCAACCTCAAAGCCATCCACTCTGTTTTTTGCTTACGTAATATCTGGACGCTCCGTTAATTTAAATGCTAGGAAGATTGTTAATAACTATAAATTCTCTAAATCATCGAAACTTATGTATGTATTCCACAGATTCCAGTCAAAGTCGAATTGCCCCTGGTCGGGCAAAACCTAATCGAACACATCTACACGATTATCCCTGACTTTACCTACAACGCATCTGCCGCACCGTACATCCCACGAATCCCCGAGGACCAGCTGGAATCCGCTTTCACAACATATTTAGAAACCGGTGTGGGCGAATTTAGCCAAGTCGTTGGCCCACAAGCGTTCATATCGTCGTCTCGCGCAATCGCGGAGGGGGAAGGAAATTGGCCCGATATCAGGATAAATTTTATCCCAGGTTGCCCCATCTCGCTAGATGATGAGGTAGAAACTAAAGGTTGCGCCATTGTGGAACTAGAAAGACCAAAATCGGTCGGAACTGTATCTCTCAACGTGACCGCGTACTTGGCAGGAGTCACAGATTTTGATGGGTTATCGGAAATTGATATTAATGCGTTTAGCGATCCTAGCGATATGGACGTTTTTCTTGATGGTATGTGCATTTATGAAGTATATAGAATCAGCCGCTTAATGTGATCGTTTTGTCCGTCTGTAAGCTGGATATTTCCAGAACGTCGCAACATAATTAAACACAGTTTCAACCATTGTATTTCTAGTTTTTAGTTGTCTGTCAATGCGCACCCATGCCCCTTAGTGCCTAGGGTGTGGTCTGAAATTAAATTTAACTTCATTTTTTATTTGAGGTGTTATCTGAAATGAAATTTTATCATGAAATCTAAAGTTTTTGACTTACGAGTAAACCATGACCGTGGTCAAAAGTCATAAATAACACCAATTTCATTTTGCTGTCATTTTAAATTTTACTGCATTATGATAACGCCAGTTTATATGTTCGTCTAAGACGGTTTATTCCAAATTTTTATATATGCATTTATGCAATTTTTTTGAAAGTTACCCAATAAATAAATTTTGCAGGAATGGACATGGTGTTCAGAGTAGTTGAAGAGACTGAAGCATTCCAATCGTTAGGAACGACATTTGCAGGGTCACCGTTGTCCCGATGTAGTCACGTGCCATTCAGATCGCGGGAGTATTGGGCGTGCTACGTGCAGCAGGGTGGGTCTGGAGAGATCAGGCAGGGGCAGTCTTCCACGACGCATATTGTGGGGACGTGTTCCATGGGGAGTGTGACCGACTCAAAGATGAGGTATTAATTATTTATGGCTCGTTAAACCAGTGTTGGATCTAACCGAAATTGGTTGTACAGATTTAAAAAAAACTCGTTTTTTTGTAAAAAAAAACCGGCCTTCGATTCCTAAACTGTTTCAGTAAAAATATTTGAGACTTGAAAGTCTGACCTAAAAATTATAAAATTCAGAACCGCTTTTCAAAAATTTTCGAAAATCCAGGAAAAAATCCTTCATATCAAGCTGTGTGTGTATTTGTTACTAAATATTCATTCATTTCAATATACAAGGATGATTTTAAATGTAGGGTTTTAGGAGTCCCCCGTCTCCGCGTCGTGGATGCCTCAATTCTCCCAATCATACCGAATGCAAACGTAAACGGTCCCGTGGTTCTGGTCGGGGAAAAGGCGGCAGAAGATATAGCATTGGATTGGAGTAACTCTTAATTACACTTTGAATTTATGTATATTGAACTCGATGGAAATGGGAATATGTAAAAAATTCAAGGTCAAAATATAGATTTCGAAGCTGCTACGTCGGAAAATTTAGTTTTTTATTATAACTTTACTGCATAATTTGTTTCTAATTAGTTAACGTCCTGAACCTCCTGGTAACACCGATTGTATTCCTGGTACGCTTACGGTTTTTCTATGAACTGCGACGAATCTTATACACCGTAAAAAATCCGGTAGTGAAATATTTCCTGGCGAATTGGTCGTAGTTTGTTTTTCAGTTCTGACGTCATAATATTACTGAACCGTATGTATACTGTCATTCTACGCAAGTTTTAACTTTTTCAGAAACTGAGAATTCTTAGAAACTACGGCACTGACAGTCTTAAAGTTCCTCGTCAGCTTTATTTGAGAGAATTTGAGATTAATAGTGCCGGAGTTTCTCAGAATTCTCAATTTCTGTAAAAGTTGAAACTTGCGTGGAACGAGAGTACATATGTACTGCCTGTTATGTACTTTGGTCAGTAATTATTTCATACGAGTTTCCTTAGAATACACTTTTCATTTGTGTTGGTGGGGTTAAAGGGTGCGACCGAGTTTTCTTCCGCCATAAATGATGAAGGGCATGTTGTTCATCTGTCGACCCTTCCTCCCTGCCGGTAACGGTTTTAGCCTCCCGCTCAACTTTGGCTGAAGAAGAATCTATATTATAAGAGGCAATGTCTGTTGGCAACGGAAGTGAAAGTAAATCTGTCCGTCCCAAATCCTTTGTCCGTCCCGGAAGTGAAAGCTGGGAAAGTCAAGTTTCGAATGGCGCGAAAATTCAAAAATTTAAATTTAAAAAAATACATGTGAAATGGTAGGGTTATCGCATTGTTATTGCCCGATGGTGATTATCTGTGAGCTTCTGTATGATCGTGGTTATTAGTTGTTAGATGATACGGGGTTATCGGGATATTGCGGCCTGATGTGGGTTATCGGGTCGTTGCTGTTTGCTATTGGTTATCGGGGTGTGGCGCCCCCCTGATGGTTGTTATCGGGGTGTGGCGCGTGGTTATCGGGGTGTGGCGCCCTGATGGTGATTATCGGAGTGTTGCGGCCTGATGGGGGTTATCGGGGTGGGTGTGGCGCTCTGATGGTGGTTATCGGGTTTGTGTTGCCTGATGGTGGTTATCGGATCTTTGCTGCCTGATGGTGGTTATCGGGTCTTTGTTGCCTGATGGTGGTTATCGAGTATTTGTTGCCTTTTGGTGGTTATCGAGGTGTTACGGCCTAATGGGGGTAATTGGGCGTTGTTGCCATTGTTAGTTAATTTGGGCGGTTATCTTATTGCATGCCGTGGCCGTTGGCATTGCCAGTGGCAGTCTTGGTTGGTAGACACGTATAACCCAGTTAGAGTGCCACAATTACTGCCAGTGTCAAAGGCAGTGCCTATGGCAGTCTGGACTGGCAGAGATGACTGACTATGAGCCAAGAAGGGTGCCAGACCCATTGCCACTGGCAATGGCAGTCTGGGCTGACAAAGATGTCTGAGCCAAATGGGTGACATTTAATTTTCCACTTTAACTTTCGCTGCAAATTGCTTTCACTTCTGTTGGCGTCAAATTGTTTTATTAAATAGATATCTACAAAATATTTGATTGGTGAAATTTTGATAATCTAAACATCTCTCGCCCGGCGGGAGACGGGCTTATACGCTAGTAATAAATAATTGGAGATAAGAAATAATACTACTATTATAATTTGGGTTTAAATGTACCAAGTTGGTTTCTGTGTATCGGGCACGGACATCGTTGTCAAATATGGAGTCTAGAAGAATTTCAGCTTAGTCATACATGAATAATTAATTTACGCTACCTTTATAAATAGAAGTGCAACATTTAGGAACTCTATCGGATGATTACTGCGTAAAGGATCTATAGAATCGGGTATTCCTCCGTATTGCCTCCCAACCAGATCAACCATTCCAGGCGATAGCGGTGATCCCAAAATACTATGGACCAGTATAACGAGCATGATTTGTAGAATGAGCTGAATTAAGGGAATAAATGAGAGCATGGTAGATAAATTAAAGAGCCCGGTATACAAACATGCATATTTACATAAATAAATATGTAAATAAGCAGTGTGGAAGTAAAAATTAATGGCTTGCATCAATTAATGAATTTATTGTTTCATAAATTTATTAAAGTTTTAATTAGTATTTGCCTTTATTTGTAAATCCTTTATTTTTCCAGCCATGGTGAACAAAACTTTTAAATTTAACGAGATAGTTTACTTAATGTTGCAAATTGTAAACTTCTGTATCTTTTGTAGTCTCAGATGAAATATTTTTAGCAGACTCGTGCCGACCAACTATACTTGAAGTGAGTTAGTTATGTGCTGTGCGGATGGAGCTAAACTCACGAGAAACCCTAGTCTCAGCACAAGGTACTTCAGGAGGCCGTAGGTTTAAGCTCCACCCGCACAGTACATAACTCACTCACTTTATGTATAAATTATAAAACCTAGGGTACTGTAGAACGGGACCTTTAATAAAACAATAAACTGGTTTAATCAAGAAGTAATCCAACAAATCAAGTTGTACCGTTACCACGTATTGATTAAAATTAGATCGTTAACTTGTTTACAATTCCTGTTTTTTAAGCCTCTAACCTACAATGTATACATAGTATGAATTACGTGGCAAGGTTAAGTGCTATGCATTTAATGCAGTGTAAAAATTTCTTGTCTTGTTTAGTAACATTCCTCAACACTGTTAGAAATCTGGTGTAGTAAGGCAGTTATTGATTTCTCGGTATTAACGTGGTTACCGCTTAGTATTAAAATTATACAGGTCTGTAAAAATTGCTACCGATATGGTAGAACTTTCATATAGACCTATAACAATATAGTATTACTTATCAATACCATTCTAGTAGAGTCATACATACATGAATACGGCTTGTGGTAATATTTTAATACTGGACTTTTAAGAGTGCACACTGTTAGCTGCAAGCTTGCATATGTACAAAACATAGCTTGATACGAAAAGTGACTCATCCCATATATTCATAAGTCATACATGCATCTTACATACATACATACTTACGGCATTTATAAAACCACCCCCACCCCCATTAAATCCACCCCCACCCCCACTTTTTGCAAAAGTTCAACTCTGTGCGAATGGAGAGTAGTTCTCCGCTCGTCCTCATAATTTATGTACATCGTGGCCAGAAATTATCTGACCAGGTGAGGTATAGTCTCAAACAATTGTTGTTTTCACATGAAAAACATTTTATTCACAAAAACTCTTACAGTATGTTATAAACTAACGTCCTGTGGGTCCTCCAGACGATTTTGTATGTCTTGAAATTTTTTCCTCAAATTTTCTGACAGATTTTCCAAAACAGTTTTCGGAATTTTTTTCCAAGCGTTTTTAAAATGTTAGATCTTGGAAGCAGTATCACGTAGAACTATTTCGTAGACCGCCTTAAATTTAAGCTAGGGCCATAAATTTTTAATTTGGTTCATGTCCGGGGTGCTCCGAGCTACACCCCTTTTGCCAAGGTGGTAAATAACCAACACTCAAAAAAACAAGTAGTAATGTTTGAAGTGTGGGCTGGTACTTCATCCGGTTAATATGGAATTTCTTTCGAATTTGGAAAAAGTTGCTTAGTCTCCATAGTATCGAACTACATGGGCAAGATATGGCCACGGTAAAACGTTACGTCTAAATTCAGACAACCAAAAATGACGCCCAGTTCCCTCGCGCCTCGAAACCAGAGCCAAATACAATCCATTAAAGGTAGTCACTTTTTCCTAATCTTCTTCTCGGGAACCCCGTTTCTATACACAATTCGGTACCTTATATAGCTAGGATTTACTACAGGATTACCATATATTTTGGTCGTGCGGGTATACAAAATTCCTGGGCCCTTTACACCAGCAGTCAAATTGCGGTTTTCATGTAGAAACTCGCCAAAATCAACTCGACCTGAATATTGTTGACCGAAAAAGAGTTTGTTTTGGAGTTCTAGAAGAGATGTGACCCAAGTCACTGGTTTTTACTTGATTCTGGAGAATGGAACGATAGATTTTCTAATAAAATTGTCAAAATCGATATTTAATATTAAGGACCGGTTCACAATTTATTGTCGAACTACCAGATTTTCGTTGGACTATTATAAAAATCGCATTCTCAGGTCTGACCGAGGATGTGGTGTGTCGTCTGAGATGATTAGCCTGGCTGATTGACTACCGGTTCCTTCAGAACGTGACGATATTTCCAGGGACTCAAAATTTTAGACCAATTTATGAAATTCCTTCTGCTTCATCCAAACGAGGGGTTATTTTTATAATTTTTTCCACAAATGAAGGTACAAGTCTGGTTGACCTTGTCAGAAAAAATTAGTTCCGAGAACACGACAACAAAAAAGTTTCAGCCAATTTTGTGGGCCGATTTATAGATTTTTTTGGGTGGTCAGATAATTCTTGGCCACGATGTATGTATATTATATTTATCACAAAAGAAAAAAAAACTTCAAAAAAAATCTTCCGTTCTTTCATCTATATTTTTAGTTCCCCGTACGGACAAGGTGGGTACAATCACGAGAACAGACTCCTTGGTTTAGTGCATGGCCTACCACTCGTGGGTGGGCTGCTGGGAAGTACAGGACATTCAGGGCGCTAATGAATTTGAAAAAAAATTGTAAATTGTAGTTACGAAATTAAAACCTTCTTAAGTAACATATGTACATATGTGTATTAATCTACTTGTTACATCCGAATTTCCTTAATTTCCTAAATAGATGCATGAATAATACAAATAAGTACACATGTGCGTGCATGTAACTGAGCAAAGCATTATTAATATTTAAATCGCTTACCACGCATGCTAATACATATGCAATTTTAGAAGCCAATTATAATTAGATTACGTAGTTGCATTGCATTTCAATAATAAATGATATATGATTATATAATTCTGGCTGTTGGTCGTAAAACAATATCCCTGGTCGTCGTTTTTAAGAATTTTTGAGCAGTTGCTAAGAAATGGTGCATTATTTAGAGGAATAATTTACTGGAATTAGATCGCTTTCAACGTCAG